GATTGAAAAAACTGCAAATTTTACTATAAACTTGATGTAAATTTATAACACGAGAACCAAAAATTGTCCATATTTTGTTTTTGAGTTTTCATTAATTGAAAATAAAAATAATCCTAAAGTTCCATAATATTAAACTGATGGGACATGACCTTAAAAATAGAGAGGGCACCCTGACCTTCATATTCTAAGTGGCTTCAATGAAAAACGCGACCAGGTTGCGAGTTCAAAATTGGGCATTTAATTTATCGCGATACCTTTAAAGATACTATAATGGGTATATCGGAAACAGCGATAATAATTTGTTTCTAATATTGATATCATTATCTTGTTACCGGGAAAATGCTATACTTTGTTCAATTGGAGTAATTATTATAGAGAAGTGTCTAAATGGGCCTTCAATTTCTTGTTAACTATCATGAAATACCACAATGTATACTGCAATGACCATATTTGGTGTTGGAAAGTGGATGTATCATTATAATATACATAATGGCGATAATGATATATAAATGATCAAATTGCAGTGGTGTGTGTTATCTATTTTGTTTAATGCTTTGATGATTTCAACTTTGTGAAATTAGGACTTGAATGGCGTGAAATTTAAAAATGGAAAATGACGAAATTGGAACTTTTTTTGGACTGTAAAGCATCTACGAAACGATGTTTACTATTTAATGAATACTTATGATAAACTGTTTTCTGAAATAATAAGCGAAATTAGCTTAAAATGTCAGTCAGTTTATTCGTTTTTATATTTAGCAGAGTTAATTAGCACAGTGACAAAACACATCAAAATACTTATGTCGATTATTACCGACTTTTCAAGTTTTCTCATCTGTTGACGCAATTCACTGCTAGACAAATATCTTTACGTTGAACCAGGAAGTTGTTTTTGTTTTCTTTTGAACTTGTGCTGTAGTATTTAATATAGAAATTCAAAAACAGTGAAAAGTTAGCGCAACTTCATTTAGTTTTTAAAAGTGTGCGTCATCCTATGATATTGGGTTACGATATACTGGTTACGGCTAATGACTTTGTTGTGCTGAAAAGGGTGTTTAGTTTCTTTTTGAAACAAGCTTACGTCATTGCCCAGACGATGGGAAAGTGATTTTGAATCTTAGAAAAGCGTTTTTCACGAATAGAAATGTTTTTGGTCAATTTCAATTCACAATTTATATTCTCATAAATCGCGAAACTTGATATGAAATTAGCATTTATTTTGCTAGATATATTGTCGCCGATACTGGTTTATCGTATTGTTTCAATGTGCGACCAAACAAAATTGTATTATATATTTTTGCGTGAATAACATCATTTTGAAATGCCAATAAGTTTATAAATGAATATGCAAATCGGTAGATAACTAAAATTTTATTGCCTGGCAATAATTTATTGCTAATATTTATTTGTAGGTCATTCCATAGTAACTACAGAAGGTCGCAATTAACATAGCTTCAAACTTGTTGTTTTTCGTCACCAGTTCTGCTCATCACAGTGTTTTGTGTTTATTTACCTTTCTGCTGGGAAGACTTGACGATGTCCTTTACCCAGTATTAAACAGGGAGCATCTCATGAGTTACCATGGGATCCTCATTTACCCGATAAAAAGAGATGATTCACAAAAAAATATCATTAAATTTGTCAAAGTTGTGATAAAAAATATTTTACGTATAGTAATATATAGTAAAATTGCCAATATATGTGAGCAAATATACACATTACCCATGGTTTAGGGGTTTTGTAAGTACTATGGTAAGATGAATGAAAGTGCTTGTAGAATCCTAACGTTCTGATCGCTCAAGGTTAGATTAAGTTATTTAAATACGGTTTATGACGTTTGACAATGATCCCATCAATATTTGACCCATTACTATTTATGAAATGAACGTATTGTCTGTGTAAGAATGTTTATCTTTGCCTAAACGCCCGTTTGTGGTGGATGCGTTATTCTGTTCGGTCAAGGCAAGGGCCTGCCATGTATTTGTAAAATATTTGCATCCGAAAGTTGTCCGCCTGCCTATGGTGACACATTTCTGTGTGATAGTGTTCATCTTCGACTCATTCAACGAATGTTTTAACAAGATGTTCTCCCGTTTGATCCATTGTCCTGAAACCACAATGAGAACTATTTGATGTTTTAACACAAGAAAAATGACGCACTGTATTTTATATCTTTGAAATGACAGGAAACGTTACGAATGATCGCAAATAAACTCCTCATTCGAGTGTCTTTGTTGGAGGTCCAGTTTCGCGTCGAAGATAACTTCAAATGACTCGATAAAATAGATTGTACATTCTGAATGCCCATTGCTGTAATATCGTTCTGATAAGTCTGTTATTGGAGAACAAATGTTTGTCGTGTTCTCCTGGGTGAGATAATTTCAGCTTAAGTGTTGATTTTGAAGACTTAATCAAGCCATGGTAGAATAAATGGGTATGTTGTCAATTATGCTAAAATACACTATCATACAACCAGACTACTCTTAATATGTCTAAAATCGTTTTTTGTTTTATAATTGAAATCTATAACAGACTTTTATCAACTTCTATGTCCAGCCTGCGTTTGTCGTGGGAAATTGCTGTCCCGTGATGTATTTTGGCGCGCTATTCCGGGTTAGAATAAGTTAATTTTTAGAATATAATTATGGATTTTAATGTTATTCAACCCTTTCGTATTAATAGTATGTAAATTCAATGAATAGTTCAATTGACATTTCTCGCAAACAGATTTAAATGAGCCTACATAGTCTCCATTACTTTCGCAAACCATATGCACACGCTGTGTTAAATATTTTTCCATTACGTACTTTGAGAATTCGACTTGTATCTGTTACAATATTTATTGACTTTAATGGGATATGACGCATACAAAGAGTATTATATTACCACGAAGTAGCAGGAAATGTTACAAATGAATCAAATACCTGTAAATAGAAACATTCTTTGGGTCAATTGGATAATTAATTGAATATTTGGCATCACGAGAATTGACCAGTATGGGTCTAGTCCTACATTAATTTAAGAATTTCGACTATTCTGCCCCCGCAAATATATTTCACAGATAAGGAATTAATATTTTTTTCCACTATTAGCAAATTTCAATCCATTCATCGGCCTCAATGGTGTGATGTACCTACTTTTTCCAGCATCGATGTACAATCTACATTTCCGTCTAAACTTGTTAAAATGTATTATTATTATTTTGAGGAGCGTATAGCATAAAACCAGTCTTGACATTCGATCGCCCTGTGTTCCAAAGTTTGTCTGAATCACCAATTAACATAATATATTCATGGTCTAAAAATGCGGAATTCTGGTATTTACTTACTTTTCGATCAAATTTCAGTGACAGTGGGAAATATTGTTTTTCTATGAAGTTGTTACGGGAGAAAAATTGATTCACTTCCCAAAGAAAAGACGAGTGCTTTTATACCTATATGGGTGGTGTTATTGATCGCACTCTTGGCCTGAGTATAGTGAGGGAACATTGAAATGGGTTGGCTTCACGCCAACCGGAAAAACTTCCAAACCATTTAAAAACTAGGGTCTGTCTATTAGGGCCTTTCTCCCACAAAAAGGGCATATAACTCAAAAATGGACCAATTTCACAAGTTATCGGCAATCTTATCCATCACTTCAAATCACAGACTATTTCGCGGAACTGAGTGCTGTGATTTCGGAAGTGTTTTCTGGTTTAACTAAATTGATGGGCATTCTCGGAGAATTTTCGTGATAACGCCATAATTATGTATTCCCATTAATTAAAGAAATAAAGCACTAATGATAAGACATCTTCTGAGACATTCAAACGTGTTGCCCATTGTGGCGCGTGTGGTGATATGACGCCATTGTGACGTGATACATGTTCACATAATTATCCTTTGTGACAGAATGAATGATGTACCGACATTAGTACTATTTCGTCACAATGAACACCTAATTAGTCAGCTAAATGTCCTGCTTCGATTTACACGGCCGATAGTTGACCTATTTTTAATTAACGTTAACGTTATATTACTTTTATTATATTATATGGCCACATGTCAAAATTTGAATGCCTTTGCTATACATGACGAGGCTAAATTGTGACGTAGAGAAACTTTGGTAAAACTTATATTATGTAGAATGGGATGCTGATATGTCATAGTTAAGTTTATAAGTTTAGTTTTTTTCGACCAGTAAAAAAAAAACTGATCTGCTTTATAACCAGTTTTACTAAACTTTCCTATGACTATGCAAAAGTCTTAAGCGCACATTTATTAATTTAAATATTATTGAAATATTGATGTGTATTAATACCCGTTGCCTAATAAGTTTATTATGATAATATATATCACTGATGATTTTTATGAGCTGTTATATGTGTGTGAATTTAATATAGCATATTGATAATGGCCCATCAATCTTTTGAAATATGTTATTTCAACATTTATTATAATATTATTTCAAATTTTCACAAGTTTGGAAGTTTATCGTTTCGTATAATTCAAGTGTTAATTTCCGACTGTTACTGATAAAAATATTTCTTTTACGCGGCTTCGTTGCTTCATCTTGTCATCGGTTATATTAAGGGGTCATCCTCTGTTTACATATCGGCGAATTTCCGTACACACGCGTCTTCGTCCGCGAAGTGGCCTTTCGGTGCGCGCTAATATTCGCACTTGTATCCCGGCGGGTTACCTTGATCCCAAAAAAGATAAGAAACAGAGGTCTGCACCTTGAAAATAATAAACAAACAAACTTATTATAACCCATTGACTACGTAAAACGACGCTCAGCACCGTTAATTAAGTACCCAGAAAGATAGCGATATCCGCCCCTCGTCTGTTACTTGTTAATACAAACGTAATAAAAGAAAAGAGAAAAACGATTATGACGTCACCCGCGAAATGATATATAAACTGGTCGCGGCACGAATTAGTCATCATAAATTGAGTTCTCTCTCATTAGTAAGTCGTTCGAAAAAGCATTTAATTTTTTTTCACTATGCGTGTTTACAGCAGAGTCAGTATTTGTATGATTGAAAAGCCAGTGGAAACCACAGGGAGTTTATCGAAGTCTCAAGCAAGACTATACAAGCCAGCATTGCAGAAAGGTAAATACTTTTGTTTGAAATGTAATTTTGATTTCTTCCATTTTAATAACTTGTATAACTAGTTACATTCATGCTTAATTATTGTGTTATAATTATCGTTGAAAATTTTCATGATAGTAATTTTATCTATAACTTCATAAATACACATTGATTAATTACAGCGTCAAACTGAATCTTACTATATAGATAAGCGGTTATGTATAATCAAAATTAAAATACTTTCCAAGTTGATCTGTATTTTATATTGGTTTCGATTTGAGTAGTAAAGTATCTTTGTTGGCCGCTTTCTCTTGGTTGTTCTCAGTGTTTCAGATTTTCTACAAGAAATGTAAATAAAAAAAATTAAATTAAAAAGTCAAAATTAAAAAAAATTAAATAACCAATCTCCGACTATACTCAATTGACATATCCTCGGTATAAACAACCGGTTTTCTTCTCACTATATAAAGGAAGATTTGTAGTATTTGTATGGTTGAAAAGACAGTGGAAACTACAGCAACCGATTTTTCTTCCTTACTATATAAAAGAGTAACGTAAATTCATTCTTTTTAGGCATCAAAGCACCATCCAAAAAGAAGGCTTTGGCCGCGGCACAGAAGAGTCGGGCTTTTGCTATGCGAGCAAAGCCACACTGGCAAAGACATTCGTACGCTGAATCCTCAACAAGTCCGTATATACTCGAAGGAGTGAATTCAGAACCAACGGTCGCGAGTTCGAATCTCGTCTCACACTTCGTTTCTACGCAAAACATTTCTACATATTATGACGGCATAGAGCAAAGAACCGTCACGCCTCACGAGATTTTAACTTCGAAACGAGAAGAATTCTTCAACGCTTTTAAAAATACGAATAACAGAAACTCAGAACATTTTGGCGGTTCGGTTAGACATTTGCCTGTGAGTTCAAACGAGTTCGTTAATGACGTCATACACGAAGTCAGCGAAATAGATTCTCCGGTGAAAGCCGAGCAAGCAAAAATCGCAAATTTAGAGGAATCATCACTAACAACAACTAAAGAGACGCATCAGGTTCAACGACAGCCCTCTGAAACGTCATCAACAGACAGCAGTACTCATTATTCGAGCCAGAATTCTTCTGTTTATACGGGATCGACGTGGTCACTCAGGTTGGTATTGTATTGTTTATATATATATAATATAGGGTATCCATAAAATCTTGATCGAATTTTAAAATTGCAAAGGAAATTTATTGATACCATATATTGTTTTGGCCCTCACGGATGTATTATTAAATGAAGTAAAAATAAACAATAACTAATTAAAAACAATAAACCTGGTTTTAAGATATGACGAGAACTGACTTCATACCAAAATTGAAATTGTAAAGAGACTTTACGGACATCCTGTATATTTATTCTATTGAGTATCTAATTCAGATTGTAACAAATTATTGGTTCGAATATCATCGTAAAGTTATGTCTAATATCTCTTATTGCTGCCGCGTAACTACAGTCAAATAGTGCGTCTCTTGTCAGAACGACAATTCCATTAACGAATTAATGTTGTAACTAGCATTTGGTATATCCAAACAGTTGACCGTAGAATTGAAGTCAAAGAATGGGCCTTTCAGTGTGCAGATGTTTGAACAAATATTATTTTTGTTACAACAAAAACGACATGTCAAAACAAACCCATCTTGACGTTTTGAAAACATTTCTGGCGTTTCATGTAATTACTTGATTTAATTTTCCCAACTTTCTCGTTCATTGGAGCAGTTCGATTTTTGTAGTAAACACTGATGACGTAAGCAGTTGTCTGTTGAAATGATTTCACCCCAAACAGCTGTATTTAGACAGAAATTCAAAAATGACCTTATTTAGACTGTCTCTGCCGTGAATTTTGACTATAACGATGATAAATTTTGCTCTAGTTCGCACTTAATTAATGACAGAATTGCGATTTTTTCTGTTTCAGAAAAAAATTATCTGATTGTAAAGATCGTCCTGAAAATGAATTCGATTAGATGGACCTATTGATAATTGGCTTATTTTTAGTAAATATTACGTCGAGATTAAATTACCCAATTACCACCCTAAATAAGCAAATATGAAACATTCTAAAATTTCTCGCACACTTGTAGAGATAACCTGTCAAGTCTAGTTGTTTTTGTTTTGTTTATCGACTTGGTATATTCATTCATGACGTCTTTATAGTTTATACATCCTGCTGAGTTCCACTTGAAGCAACGAATTCGGCGCCAGTAATAACGAAAAGCTTCTATTTTAATCGCGATGAACGTTATATCGAGTCTGTACCCTAGCTAATTGGACGAAAACAGCTAAACGAAACAAACAATAACGAATGGCTGGCGAAGTTCCCATACGCATTTACAGCTTGCAATAGTGTGGAAAACCAGGAAAAAATCATAGAGAATACGGTCGTATAAACACAAGTCAACAAGAGCAAGCGCTAAGCTACTTAAAATGAAGATTGCATTCGCTATTAAATTATTTAAAATTGATTTTGTCATTCATGACAATATTTTCATTTATTTTCAGTGGAGATATGGCGTCACAAGCCCGTACTCGCAAACCGTCTCTTCGTCGCAGACTACAAGGAGCTTTCAGTTTTCAAAATATCAGGAAAGCCATCAGCATGGAAAAACTAAGTGAATTAGAAGGAAAAAGAAGGTACGTCGGTTCTCACATTACGAGCTTATAGCATTCGCTGTCTCAAATATGTGGGAAACTCCTCATATATGTGGACATTGAAACGTAATCAAGGGGTAATCGGCCTATTCAGTACCTTCGTACACAACTGATACAGTTTTGCCAAAGCTTCAAATTTATATTCAGACATTCATTATGGCAATGGATAGAAAAAACACACTGGATATACCTATTCAATTTAAATTTAACCATGTTACTGGTAGCATACATTCAATTTAGTAGGTTTTTTGAGTTTACAAAATTTAAAATTTTCAATTTTTTGTCTCATAGATCAATGAGCCATCATTACCTCAATGAATCTGGCAACCATGATCTGAACAGCCGTCCTAGAAGCTCCACATTGCAGGATAAGACTTCATCAGCAAACGTACCAGGAGAACAACCTCTAAGAAAAGCCGGTTCCATTTCGTCTATTATCTCGTCTGTGCGTATGCGCAAACGTAGATCACGAATGCGAGCTGATAACAAGAATCGTTATACCATCGCCGACCCAGAAAACTTTGCAAAGAATATGGATGAAGCACCAGGAACAAAAAGGTTTGTATATTAAAAGAATCCAAATGATTCAAATTGTGAATAGAATTTAATATGGATACCACATGGTGTAACAGCATTTCGGCTTCAAACTTCTGATTATGCAATGGCAAATGATGCAACATCCGATGAAACAACATACGATGTTCAGGTTTTGCGCCATCTTGGTGCACATACTTCGGGAGTACCCTTTATGCTTCCAAATAAAATGTTGAACTGGAAACGTATAATTCAATACATTTTATCATATCAATATCACTTCGGAATGCGTGATATTTTGCTGTAGCTGAATTTTTACGATTTATACCTATATTTCCAGATCACCATTGCGTCCATTATCAATGATATTATCAAACACGAACCGCCGTAAGTTGGACGACGTTGGAACTCCTTCTTACTTTAGGTAAGAAACTTAAATTGTAAAGAAATGCATTTGTTGTCGTGAACAGTATCATTATTTCATTAATTTGAGTCGCGTTTTAATAAAATTTCGACCGCCGTTAATTCATGCATCTGAAGCAATGAACTGGTTAGCTATTCAGATACATGATCTAGTCTAGACTGGACAAGGGCCAAGGACTTTCCACCTGACAAAAGCCTTCTTATCGGCTTTTTTCACTCGGGATAGATTTAGAGTCTTATCATATGATAGTCTTGATAGTTGGTAGTTTTCTTATATTTATTACTAGAAATTCTGACTATTATTTTCCAGTGAATTTTTCGTAGGATTGTCTTTGACAACATTCAAAAAATTTCCATTCCCCAGAATACCAAACCATTTATGGAATTCGATTTGTTCCAATTATTATTCAATTACACCTTCCTTGATTATAACCTGATAATTCCGAGAAGTAATTACCTAAATTTAAGCAATTTTTGGCGCCTCATAATGGCTACTTGTTGGCTTTAAAATGTCAAATATTTATGAATTTTATTACTTTTTTAGACCAATTGGCAGAGTTTTACAAATGAACCCAGCGGAGGGAACCTTACTTGTAGAAATGGTGAAACCTCCATCAGGCCCGTTCGGTTTTTATATTGCAAGAAAGAAAGAAGCAGGAGATTCAGGAAGTAAGTACATTTAGCTTTACATTCTTTAAAAATGTTTTGATGAATAAACACGCGGTATTCTGTCTCTAATAGTCACTAGGCTGTCGAGGCTGTTGTGTACTGTCAGTCACAATATTAGGTTCTAAATACCGGTACATCTATTGAGATATAATATAGGGTGTCCATAAAGTCTTAAATTTTTTTTAAATTGCAAAGGGTATTTATCGATACCATATATTGTTTTGGCCCTCACATATGTAATAAGCGAAGTAATAATACTTATAAAATTACTGATTAAAAAAACAACAAACCTGGTTAAAATATATTGAGAACTGACTTCATAACAAAATTGAAATTGTAAAGGGACTTTATGGACACCCGCATAGTAATGAATAAACACGCAGTTTATTCTTCATAAAGTCGCTAGGCTATCCAGGCCGTCATTCACAATATTAGGTGCTAAATATATCTATTGAAATAATGTGCTCTATATTATACCGGGAAGCATAAACTTATGTAATTAGTTTGTGGTTGTTGGTCATTAATTGGAACTATCATACGGTACTCAACACTTTTTTGGTATAATCACGGAAAACCGCAAAATTTCGCCTTTAAATCTTAGGCTTTTCACCTAACTGATTATATTCTTTTCAATTCCAACTCCCAAATTTGCTCAACATTTTAAACAAATCTCTAATCTTTGACTTTTCTTTTCAGGTGTATTCATATCCCGACTCAGCGACAGCTATCCTGACAAAATGTTTGCTGGTTTGATGCGAACAGGAGACGAAATCACAGAAATTAACGGCACAAACGTTTCAGGACTCACGTTAGATCAAGTGTATGATCTCATCCTGGACAGCGAACGCACCTTACTGAAGTTAAAGCCCGCACAAGTTCATGTTGTGTAATGAGTGCGCGAGAATCAAAAATGATGTGCAAGAAGGTCCGGATATCCGGAGTGAGTTCCATTCAAGCGTGGAGGCGAGTCTGAACTACGTTCGGCAGACGAGTGCCGGCAAAGTATAGTCCGCGATCACTAAATCGGAAAAAAGAACTTCAAGTCATTTTTTCGTAAAAGCAAGTGAATGATATCGTCACAGGATGCCCTTTATTGTAATTACACTCTATTTAAAAATGGACTATTCATTAAACTTATCATTCTCTTTGCAAAAAAAAATTAATTCATCAATTCTTTCGCTCATTTCACCAAAGTGTTTCGTCAGATAACACTCTGTTATGTGAGCATACTTCGTATTACACACGTATTAAAAATTGACGTCATAATACAAAAATAAACGTCACAGTAGGAAAATATGCCGTCATAATTCTATTTGACAACTTCTGAAGTATTGTTATAATTTAATTCGAATGCACTATTTTCATTCAAGTGTCCTTTTTCTCTAGAATGAAATTGTCTCTTGACTTTATTTCACTGTATACCAGTATTCGTGGTATTTGTTCTCATATTATTGCGTTACAATTGCTTTTAATTCTTATTATGATTACATACTATTGATCTATCTGACGTCATAATGTTCTTTATAATTTCTTTCCTATTTCCATGGCGCTTTTGAACATTCAGTTTATTCAAGATAATGCATTGGACATAGAGAGGCATTGAATGTACTTTAAAAGTGCGATTTTGAAAAAAAAATTATATTTGAAGTTAATTTGCATTAATTTTGTTTGGTACTCACCAGGGCGATCCCGCAGTATGTGCACCAACATGGCGCACAATCTGATAATCATAACCTGGTACACATACTATGTTTAGGTTGTGCGCCATCTTGGTGCACATACTACGGGAGCACCCTCATCAGGGTGACACTATATTTTGGCAGTACCCAGGATGGCTCAAATTTAAAATTGAATTTCCTCATGAACCGTCTCGGGATTCTTTCCCAACTATCACAATTTGAAAACTATTATGATTTTCATATCTATTGCTTATAATACACGCTTGAACTATCTTTCTAAAATATTTCGGGATCGGATTCTACCTATGCCCGATACAGTATTTTGAATGAACTGTTTTCGACAATATCTTTGCTTGATATTAATATTTATCTTTTACTATTATTACGAATAAATTTATGACACATAATTTGAAAATACTTTTTATAGTACTCCCATAGTGTGTGTACTAGTTTAGGGTTGTGCCCTAATTTTGATCTGATTTTCTTCGTTTTAGTTCTATTACGTGTTTGTGGCCTGTCTGTGTTAGCCAAGTGAATATCCCCCTGCCCATAGGTTTCAGTCCTTTTACACAACTTGATGTAAAGTAGGCGAACAACATTAGTGACCTCCATATTGGTACAAACGCTTTTGGAGCGCCCTTCTTATTATAGAAGGTTTGGACTGAATGGAAATTATGAGTGGTAAACGTGAAACTGGGTTAGGATTCAAGAATATTGATTTACCGATTTAAAACCATCAAAATATCGGTTCGAAAAATATAAAGGAATTTACATTAACGCCAAGAATTCGTTTGGCGTACACGCAACAAATCATAGCAATTATTCGCTAACAAACAAAACCACACATCCACTTCAGTGAGTAGGCTACTATATCGCCCCCACAGCAACGAGAACATGCTAATTGGTAATGTATTATGCTGACTGGCTGAACGCCAAAGCGGAACTTTTGGCTGGCCGGTCGGGACGCCGGACAAGACGTTGAAAAGTGGGACTGTCCCGCCTAAAACGGGACGTACGGTAAGACTAGAAATTTAGCTAGTCTTCCGTGTAATCTGAAACGGAATGAGTAAGTTTTATTATCCATTATCAAATGAAGGCCATGTTACAATTAATTTGCGTGATGCTTGGAAACTTTATTTCAACTTAGTTAATATTGAGATATGTGTTATCGGACAAACTCGAATTGTTCCACGGAAAACTGAGGCGCCATAACAAATCGTCTGCGAAAATATCTTCGCCGTAAGACCAATTAGGTAATTTATTTACGAACTGATTGCTTCGAAGGCCACGGCGTGTCTTTCAGTAAATAACAACACGATAAATGTGCTTTAAAATCGATTTTCTGCTACATGTTATATCGTTCACTGCAATATTACAAGGGTAGGCCAATATTAACTGTCATTTGCCGAGAGTAGGTAGCCAGAAGAGATGGCAGCATATGTTCAGGGTGATTGAAAGGTAACTCCCTATTTTAAAAAAACTATAGTTTATTTTTAAAATATAATTTCTACAATTAATGAATATGAGAAGGAAGTATAATGCATGGGCTTATTGAAAAGTAACTCCCTATTTTAAAAAAACTATAGTTTATTTTTAAAATATAATTTCTACAATTAATGAATATGAGAAGGAAGTATAATGCATGGGCTTTTATTTGAAATTCAATATGGGCGCCTTTATTTGCCACCAGCTTCTCAAGTCGACCAGGAATCGCATCAACTGATTTCGCAAGAAACTCTTGCGGGATGGAAGTCATAACTTCACGTATTCGCCCCTCAAGTTCTTCCAAATTTCTTGGTTTGGTTGAGTAGACTTCCTCTTTCAGCCAACCCCAGAGAAAAAAGTCGCAGGGTGTTAAGTCAGGACTTCTGGCAGGCCATTCGTGCGAACCGCGACTACCCATCCATCTTCCAGGAAATTGAGCATTTAGCCATTCACGAACAACAATAGCAAAGTGTGGAGGAGCTCCATCTTGCATGAAAATCAAATCTTCAATATTTTCCCAAGCACTGATAATTGGCCAAATTTCATCTTTCAACATAGCGAGGTACCTTTCGGCATTCATGGTATCGCGAAGAATGAAGGGACCCACAATCCTATCAAAAGTAATTCCACACCATACCGTTACTTTGGATCGATTTTGCATTTTTTCACAGGTAACACGAGGATCTTCTTCCGCCCAGTAGTGGCAGTTATGACGGTTCACAAATCCACCTATGTGGAATACAGCTTCATCACTCCATAGAATATTTTTAAAAAGGTTGGGCCAATCTCTAAACCAAGCCAACATTATTTCACCAAAACTCCATACGAATGTCAAAGTCTTCTGCAGAGAGTGCTTGACAGTAATGCGGCTTCCAAGCACGCCATTTAAGCTCGTTTTTTAGCACATTACGTACACAATGAAAGGAGAGCCCACTTTCTCTTGTTGCTTGACGAATTGACTTATGTGGGCTACGGGTAAACATTTCTTTAACAACTTGCACTACCTCAGGATCTCTGGATTTGGAAGGACGACCGCTTCTTTGAGTATCAGCCACAGATCCTGTGGTCATAAGTTTTTTATGACAATTCTTGATCGTCTTCGGGTCAATTTGGGCATGTTTTCCCTTAATAGTTCTCCACCATCTTTGCACTTGAACAATGCATCCCCAAACTTCATAACGCGCGGCTATCTGGGCACGTTCCTGTAGAGTAAGACGTCCAGCCATTTTTGTAGGGTTTTGAAATAAAATAAATTTGAAAAGATTGAAATTGAACAATATTTAAACAAATCTGAAAGGAAAACAAGAACATAAATTAAATTGCCATATATTAAGTAATATATACACATAAATTTAGAAACATGAAACATGATATAGCATTTGAATAAATTGTATTTATTTTAAAATAGGGAGTTACTTTTCAATCACCATTTGCAGTGTCGTATGTAGGGTGTGGCAGCCATGCCCATGACTCGTGCCATTGGCGTCGTTGCAACAGGGGCGCAAAAAGGCAAACTTGTAGTCTATTAATCATAAAAAGTACAATGAAAGAATTTTGAATTGGAAATAACTGAAACTCGTATTTTTACTCAAATATTAACGTACAAGTATCCCAATTCAATAAAATTGTCAAACAACTATCAAGGGGCGCATTTTTTGACTTTGCCATCAGCGCCATTTTACGCGGATACGCCACTGATGAGTGTATTTATAATTTGTATTACCTCAATGAAGTTTGGTTTAAAATGAATTTATCTTGGATACCGAGTTGGACTAGTTTTGTCAATTGAGTTGGAATTCCGAACGTGGTCGAGAGACGGAGTAACAATTTCAGATAGCTCAAGAACCTGATTTTAGAAATTGTTAACGGCACGGTAAAGTTTTTTTGTATTCCAACGCCAGTTAGTTTTTTTTTTGAGGTATAATACCAATAAAATTGTCTTGCATTCGGATTTACTTTCTCGTCAACAACGGAGCGGGCAATATTTGTACTCGATACACAACAAAAATAAATATTCCGAACGTTGCTCTGTGTGATGGAAACTGGCATAAATTGAAGGCGACTAAATCGAAAAACGAGATAGTGATCTGAGATCGCCGACTTATCGATCTAGCGTCGTGTATTCTTCGCTCTGACTTAATAGCGACACAGAGTGTCGCATCACCAATTAATTGATAACTCGCTGTGCACATGCAAAATTTGGAGCAGATTCAATCTGGCTTTCGTGAGATATCGCGTAACATCCGAAAGCGTCTAAAGGACAACGGACAAATACATATCAACATAATTACCGATCGAGATGGATTAATCGATTAATTGATTTCATTCGATTTTTTATGACGTAAACATTGTGTCCGTTTAACTTGTGCAGTAATTTATTTGTTATTGTTGGCGCCGTAATTCCCTTGATTGGCAGTGTGTTTTTATACACTTGATTACAAAACAATTGAGAGGGTCTTCGTGGGCAATTGCTTGTTCAGACATGTCTCGCTCAGTCACGCATAGTTTAGGTGCTTTGCTTTTACATAGCGCTCTACTTTTGTAGAGAATTGCGCTAGTTTCGTTGTAATTAATTTGAGATCGGCTTAGCGATCTTGACTTTCAGTTTTAACTTCAGGACGATTGGATTAGCCAGGGCTGTTACACGTAGTTTAGGAGACACGCGTGTCTCGGTTGGGATAAAGCCGCGTAAATAAGCTTTCCATTAAGATCTCAGTTAAGTTTCACGCACGTTGGAAAGGAAGGTTATGACATTTTTTTTGGGGGGGGGGTATACAAAATGCTCAGAGGAAGGGCGGCGAATTGGATTAAGGATACTTTTTGACCATTAGATCGCTTTTGTGATTCTTTTTACAGTTATGATTTATTTAATTGATTTGATTGGATTTCATTGACGAATAATTTCATGTTCAACTTGTGATAATATAAGCCTGTAATAACAGACAAATTCGGTATGTTATGATTTGTAACTCTTTTTGATTTGAAGGCTGCAAGTTATTCAATAGTAATTCAGTTCGGCTTGTTTGGTAGGTTTATAAAGTAAGCCTTCTAAAGGCTGAATTAGTTATAATTATTACTCTATTGCAAGTATTTTGTGCTGATTTGTTTTTACGTTTGTATTAAGATAACCGCGGTCAATTGTATACTTCAAGTTGTGTGATTTTTTGGATTTGAAGATACAAACCTGGGCCTTGGAAGACCGCGTTATTGAACTGTTGATAAATATCTAGTGTGTAAGATCGGTGTCGTCAAGGTCACAAAGAACGACTGTTAGAGTTATTGAAATCTTGGATTAACATCCTATCTCATTCACATCCACAATAACCTAGTCCTAGGGTATGAAATAGCAATGTAGAAACCAAAAAATTCTTGTTCTTTCTAAAATAGTAGTTCGTTAGGTATCAATGGCCTCTTGTGCAGAGCATTGTTTAGGAAACGTTTTGAAAGCAACGCACAAATTAAAAAGACAAAATATAATTTACTTATCCTCATTTTTAGGCATGTTTGTAATCAGTTTAATTTTAACGACGAGATCCGGGAGTTACTTCCTCGGCATATTCGATGGATACTCAGCTACGTTTGGACTTATTTTTGTCGCACTATTCTGAACAATTGCAGTTACTTGGGTCTTCAACTAGAGAAGTGAGTGCTAAACTTTGATCTCGGTCGGTGAGTATGTTGATAGGTATTTGTCTGTTTGTTTGTCTGTTAGACACTATCGTATGTTATGCGATATGTCACGAAAGCGAGGATGAATTGTGTCGTATAATTAACGAGTTATAAACCGCAGTTTCTGTTTTGGGGATCCCCTAACTTTCGTCACCGAGATCGATAAGTCGGCGGTATCCGATTGCTATCTAGTTTAATACTTATTCTCATTTTCAGGCATGTTTGTAATCGGTTTTAATTTCAACAATGAGTATGGGAGATATTCAACGGATACTCTGCTACATCTGACTTGTTTTTATTGCACTATTCGAAACGATTGCAGTTGCTTGGGTCTTCAAACTAGAGAAATGAGTGCTTTATACTTTGTTTTTATTTTTGCATTGATTTTTGGGAGCTCCAAAAGTATGTGCATCAAGATGGCGCACATACTTCGGAGCGCCGAACTTTGTTTAAAGCAAGACTCTAAGCCAGAGATGCGCAACTGTTATTTATACAGGAGAAACAGATACAAATAACTGGTTGAAACTGCGGGCCGCACCTTTATTTTACACAAACCTACTAGAGAATATTTTTGATATTCAATTATGTTTTTCATGATGCAAAGATGCCTTCTTGTGTAGGACTAAACTAAATTGCAATCACAGATTAAAACCTCACATCTTCCACATCACTTAGGTGTAATAAATTGGGTAGGCAATCCTTTTGTTCAGAGCAACACTCAAAACGAGTATAAACATGTCATGTAGAAAATATTGTTTTGACAAATAACCAGTCAACTTATTTTGTTTTTTTTATTTTTCAGCCTCAAAAATGAGATAGAGAGAATGATTCATTCGAAACCTATTTGAAATTTCAAATACTTGGCAGTTAATGGGAGATATGCAACGGTTTGCATCTTTTTTACTGGAATGAATGAATGTTAACAAATGAATTACTGAAAACACGGAAAACATCAATAAGACAGATTGCTGAGTGTTCACACACAAAGAAAACACTTATTTCTCAATAAGTTACTACAGAAAATGGTCAAATGTAAGAATTTCATTGAAAAAATATGGTTTCAATAAAAATTTGGAGAATTCACCTCGACCACTGGCGTAAAAAGACAACAAGATGGCGGCAATACGAAATTTTGCTCTGAACCGATTCGAATAATTTAATATCCAAAACATCGACAGGACCTCGTCTCATTTGGCTTGTCCATGGGACATATTTTCGGTCCCATTTCCATCCAATAGCAATTATGCCTGTCCCATTCCATGGAATTGTTAAATTTAAGTTTAGCGTCCACTGAATAGGACTACATGCACGAAGAGACATGCAAAACAACAAAATTTACGGACTTTATTATCTTCATGACCATAACTATTATGCATGTGTCCATCAGCCCCATCCATGCTGAATATATATATATATTTTTTTTATAGCTAACAAGACAGCTAGGCTCAAATATATGGACACGAATTCCATAACGAGATGTTTTACCATCATACGATTTTCGTGTCCCATGAGAAATGCAAATGTGTGCTGTCCCATTCCATCCCATGGACAACCCTGGGCGGCACACTCTGGTATTCGAGCACCAAATTTTTCGTCTGAGTACCGCTGTATTTTATGATCGACTGAGTTGCTCACTAATCAAGTCGTTTGACCACCGAGGTATCACTGCTTTTGCTTTAATATTGTTTTCTATGGAAACTCTTGTTTAAAGAGCAAATCTGTTATGAAACTTTGAAAACCAAAGTTTTTCACAGAATTGATTTTTAATTAAGCGGCAGTTTGTGGATTCACAATCTATGACAAAATTCTGTCAACATCACACCGCACCTCTGATTTATATACTGTGCTTCAGTACCTTGAAATTTATTTTTCCATCTTTTATTGTACAATTTTTTCGTATACACAATATTTTGCCCTGTTTGAATTTATTATTTATTCTTCTGTGTACTTTCTATTAAACCCTTTCTCTTATTTCACATTGAAATATATTGCTATTTATTGATCTTGATCGGTAAGTATGTCGATAGGTATTTGTCTGTTTGTTTGTTTGTCTGTCTGTTAGACACTTTCGTATGTTACGCGATATTTTACGAAAGCAAGGTTGAATCTGCTTCAAATTCAAATTCATCATATCTCGGACCTATTGATTTTGGATGAATTATGTCGTATAATTACCGAGTTATCAATATCGGTAATATAAAAATTACAAATTTAAGTTTATAATTCAGAATCTACTCCATGAAAATTCATAAAACAATCTAGAATCTTTTAGAAAAACTATCAATTCAGTCAAAAATCTTAAATTGATCTCAGTCAAGATTTATAAGCCTTCTATTTTCAAGTTTTGAATTTATTCTTTCAATAAAAATTCCCACCCAAAGAAGTATCAATATACACACAATTTCTTATTCCGACCAAGGTTATTTGTTTTATTGTTATTTTTTATTGAAGTTCTCTTTTCTGTTTCACATTGAATTGTCTGTTTTACTTTTATATATTTGTCGTCTGAATCAGTTTTGTCACAATCCCTAAATCTCAATCTAAAGCAGTGGTTCTCGAATTTTTCACGCCACGCCCGTTTTTAGAATTGTCCTCGAAAACAACTAGCTAACAGTAACAACAAGCTATAACTAACAGTTATTGAAAAACACGTTTAGAATACAAGAATGTATTGTAAATATCCAAAATTAAGGCGGGCAAGATCAAATCTAACATTCATTTTTGATTAGGTTTAAGCCCCCCTCAAAAATTGTCTACGCCCTCTTGTGCAGAACGGCCGCCGTTTAGGAAACGCTGATCTAATTGTCAATCTAAATTGCCACTGGCAAATCATATAATCAAACCAATTATTGTCCAATACACTTAAGACTTAACCTTACATTTAGATTAGAATTAAAACTCCTTCGAATATCTCCATTTTTGAGTAAAGACTTGTAGTTGTTAAAAAATCTGTAACCGTCTTAACATCTTGCTCAACCCTTTAAAAAGCTATGCTGTATTTTATTGCTTCTACTGATAAGTTCCGCCCAAATGAATCACCCATATACACAATTTTATTTGTAATCCGTATTCTATATATGCTTATATATTGAATTTACCTTTTTGTGTCACAATTTTACCAAGTATTTGCACATCTCCAAAGACGGGCCGTCACCCCACCCTGGAACGTGGCAAAATTTCCTATGTGGTCCTTTTGAAAAGCCCTATGCTGGAGTAACGACTTGCCCAGTGCCTTCTTAAGAGCATAGGTTTCAACACCGCAGCATAGGCAGAAAAATCGGAGCCCTGTTAGATCTGTTCGTTCAGAGTTTACTTTGGGGCGTAGTTCAAACCAAGCTAGAAAATCCATCCCAAAATTTAAGTTTTATTTTGCTTATGTATCTTCTTGTCAATCTTGACTTGTTCACAGTGTTGGTTCGAGCCTAGCAAGAGACCAATGCCCAAACGTGGGTTCTCCTGAAGTATGCGCATCAAGATGTCGCATAACCTGAACCCTAACTTGGTACACAACTTGAGTTCAGATTGTGCGCCATCTTGGTGCGCATACTTAAGGAGGTCCCGAACGTGTGTTATTGTATGCTATGCTATTTAATTTTCGACCACCCTCTTTTTGAAATGTAAAAAAATATGAGCATCTATCCTAATCATGCATAATTTTTTTACCTTAAAATTTCTGGCCCCTGGTTCAGTATGCCTAGTATCTGCTTGCTCAAATTCTTGTTTGGAGTGCGGATACGAAACGAGGAGGCAATAAATTCTCTTCCAATTATTGCCTATCAAGTGAAACCATTTTAATTCGAAGCAATGTTACCCAGTTTTCATGTCAATACTCAAAAATACAAAATACCTCAACTTTATGTAAAGTTCCTTGTAAAGTGCAAAAATATATTATTTATTTAAAGAGAAAATTTGGTGAAATGTCAGAATTTCTGCTATTTTTTGTGTCTTATATTTTATTAGATTTTAAATATGTACTTTGAAATGCTTGTTTGTAAAGGAATCTGTTAATAAATTGAAAAAAAAAACGATTTTCAAGTGTTGTTGTTTATTTATGACGTCACTTCAACTTAGTTCAGGAAATGTATATTATTCCCTTAACGTTTCAACACTGATATTATCATGTTTCAAGCCTACGTATACCCTCACGTGAGGCCCGGGAGCAAAATCTATGGGAGAGGAAAAAGGGTTGAGACGACCTATCATAGTTATATTTTAAAACTAGTAAGCTTGCGCTTTATACTCCCACAAGTCCTTCCGACATTATTAGACCAGAACAGGAGTAACTTGTAAAACGTGGCCAAGTTGGAATTTCTTATATATTTATCATTATCCAACTAACAGCCAATCGTAACGCGTATTTCAAGTCACGTGATCGGCGCAGAACCCCATCTGCCATGTTTCGGCCATGCGCAGACGGACACCTTAACAGGAAGTTGAACTTCCTTACCGGAAGTTCCTAATTGCCATGCGCACGAAAATACTCAACTCCCATTGGCTGAATCAAAATTCTCAACATGCGCAGTAGATTACCGGCCATCTACTTGCCATGCGCGAGATTTTTCAAAAAATGACAGTTGCCAGATTTCAGAATTTCGATTTTGAACAAATTGTTTCAGAGTCGGACCGTTCAGAAACGAAATTCTGAAATCTGGCAACCGTCAAAAACAGTTCATTTGCGCATGGCAAGTGCATGTCCGTTTTGGTTCTGCGCAAGTCACGTGACTTTAGAATTTTTTGATTGGTTGAATTTTGTCCAATTGAAATATTCCTTCATTGTATTAGGATTTGATGACCCCGCCCTTGCGTCTATAAGGACAATGAAAGACTGCTAACGTTCGGTGGAATCTGTAGCTGCTGAAGAATTCTGCTGGGCCCTTCACAAGATAGTCGATGGCCATAATTTTGCTTCTAATTAAGCTATTGTCGCACAGTTGAAAACTGTGATCTAGAATTGCTGTAATTGACATGTTCAAGCATTAAACGGCACTGTGTTAAGTTTCATTCTTACAATTTCACCCGGGGTGTAAGAAACTGGGTAGTCTTCAAAGAATACAGCACATCCATTCCCTTATTTTCAACATGTTTTTTGAATCAAATATACTTCCTCTCATTATCGGGTATTTGTAGCAGTGGCGTATCTAGAGTGTGGCAACCATGGGCGCCGTTTGAACAGGGGCACAAAGACTGCAAAAAAGTATTAATCATAAAAAGTTTCAATCAAATTGGGAATAACTGAAACTCGTATTTTTACTCAAATAATAACGTACAAGTATCCCAATTCAATAATAGTCTTTTAAATTGTCAAACAACTATCAAGGGCGCCATTCTACGTAGATACGCCACTGATTGTTAGCTAGTTATTTTCGAGCTGGGGAGCGAGACTCGACAAATTCCTAGAAAGACACGCCACTTAAAAACTTAAAGAAAACCACCGATCCAGTCACACATTGTGGTAATCTACACGCAATCACTTACCAACTTGCAGAACACATGATATCAGCCAGAAAACCCTTTCCGGTCTCATCTCTTATATCTTGTAACTTGGATAAGAATCAACTGAATTTGCCCGATTGGTACAACTTGGTATTACCACTCATACACCCTCAAAGAACAACTTCATACAAAAACCAACAGTATTGAAAATGTTAATATATTAAATTGAAATAATTCGAAGGCAGTGCTCAAATTTATATGGAACGAATTTCTAAAACATAATTTAAAACAAACACAATTATAAAAAGACAAATATCTACTTCACAATAATAGACAAACATTGAACAGACACCATAAGATGAAACAGAGTACCAGGCACAAAATTATAAAATGGGACTTCGCCAACTAACGGGTGGATTTGAATATAGGATAGGATTTACATATTTATTCCGGGAAAGAGGGATTAGTCAGCCAGTTATTTGTTTTCAGAAGCATGAACATACATGGAATATTTTTGTATTATATTCATTGGCACAGTTTTTTTGAAAGAGCAAAAATCGGTACTCCCGTAGTGTGTGTACCAGGTTAGGGTTGGGCCATAATTTTATTCTGATTTTCTTTATTTTAGTTCTATTACGAGTTCGGGGACTATCTGTGTTAACCAAGTGAATATACACTCTGTCCATAGATTCCAGTACCTTTCACACAACTTGATGAATAGTAGGCGAACAAAATTAATCACCTCCATATTGGTACACACACTTCTGGAGCTCTCGAAAATCCGACATGGCGTGCAAACCACTATGATTGAAGATCATAGCATGGAAGCGCTCGTGGAACTTATATAAACAGGATCGCCATCTCTATCGAGAGTAACCTCTGGTTTATCTGTTGGACTCCTGGCTTGGTTAGCACTGCTGCATACAGGACCATGCAAACGGGCAGCTTATATAAGAAAAATATTATCAAAGCTCATCGAGAGATTCACAAATTGAAGATTTCCTAAATACTGGGTCACACATTACTGGTTCTACTTCCTTTCTGGTAATGACATTTACTTGTGACCAAATATCCATGGGTGAAGGTTCACAACCCTAATACAAATCAACCTTTTTGCCTCAGGAGCTCATCAATACTTGAAGCCTTTTAGAACGATGGTTGATTTAAACCAAACAAAATCATCTTCATTGATAATATTAGCTTCTGTCTTAATTTTTGTGCAAATTTGAGTCGATTTTTTGTGCACGTTTACTACATGGCTTTTGGCAGAGTTTTCTGATATTGTCACAGTTGTGTGAGTATCAAATTGATTCTTAGACAGAAACTTGCTAGTGTGCAGTACTTCATTACTGTTATTAGAAACTGTAGAACACTCCTCTCCTGATTCTTTATTTATATCAGACCCATTAAAAAGGTTTAGTGATTTAGAAGAGATTAGCGCACCACTGGGAAGTTCTCCAGAAACGATAGTGCAAGCTTTTTGGGCCCGATTTTTTACCAATTCCCTGTTCCACTGCCCGCTTTCCCTGGCAACATTATTGTTAAGTGGAGCAGCTAATTTATTTTCAACTAGTTCAGATTCAGCGGCATCAGTTTGATGTTGTATAAGTCTATTCTCTGTATTAATTTCACTTTCAGCAATTTTTTCACTAGCGGAAAGATCCTGGCAATGTTTATCCTTGTAAACAGCTAAATCTCTTAATTTCACTTGTGCAAACTCAAGCAATGATGGTGGTTCGGTTAGTGTGTCTTCATCGATTGGTAATTGAGAAGCTTTTTTAGATTCTATTGTATTTGCAAAAGCACAAGTTACTTGTTCCTCAACCTCAATCTTCTCAGAGGCAGCACATAGTGAAGATTTTTGCTTGTGGCACTGCAGTTTGACTAGCTGAAGTCCTCCTATTATTTCCCACACTCGATAACACACAGCTAGTAATTCCTTCATTAGAAACTGCCTCAAGAGGCAAAGTCACAAATTTTCCAGTTATAAAATCACAGGATTTCATAAATCCAGTGCTATCATTATCCGCAATGTCTAGATATTCAGTTTTATGGGGCGAAACAAAATTTGCAACATTCTTTTGAAATTTAATTTCACCTGCTGAAAGCCTTCGCAAATTAATTTTCACTTCATCTCCATTGTCTAAGATTGCAGAATTCTCTGAAATTTTATCTTTTTGATCATTGGAAGCTTCAAGAACCTTTTTATTGTTGCCAGATTCTGAACTCTTGCCATCCAGAAAAGTACAAATATGGCCTGTGGTATTTTCTGATAATTTAGACTCTTCATCTTCACATTTCACAAGACTCGGTGAGCAAGGTTGCTCATTGAAATTAGTATCTGAGTCAGGTTCACCTTTCGATAGTCTGCGAAGTTTCAAACTCTTCATTTCATTTGAAATAGCATTTTCGGTCTCATTTTCAAAGTCAATATCTTCTTCGTTTTTAGAAGATTCAACAGCTGTGTCGTTTTGTTGGATTTTCGTACCAGATTGTAAATGTTCTTTTGCAGATGTAGATTCTTTCATCTTGTTTCTACAAGCTACTGTATTGTCTTGAGATGGCATCGTAGCATCATTTCCACTATGAAATACCCAAACTCTCAAAGAAAGGCCTACATTCCACACCTATTTCTGATTCTTCATCACCTACAGGCTCGGAATTGTCTTGTTCAACTGTCCCAACAACAGATTCGCCCTTTGGATAACCGTCGTAATTTTATAATAGCATTTGATTTAGAAAGACTTCTGAGTTCTGTTTGATGTTCCTCTCTATCTTTATTGCATTCTAAAAGTGTACCATCAACTTTCACAGATGAATTCAAATCAGAATTTTCCACCATATTTACAGAATTTGATTGGCCAGTCTCAGAAACGCCTTGTTTAACGCTTTGATCAATCGCCTTAATAACAGGCTCGCCTTTAAATAGCCGCCGCAACCTAATAATTTTCATTTCACGATCGGGTGTATATTCATTACATTCTGATTGGGTATCTACAACATTCAAAGATGAAATCGCATTTGAATGTTCCACCACATTTACAGAATGACCACAATTCTTTACTTGACCATCAGTTGACTTGGAATTAATAACATTCAATTTAGGATTAGAATCTTTGAGTTCTTTTTTATAATTCTGTTCATCTTCATTAGATTCTGAATTTGTATCTACAACATTCAAAGATGAATTCGCCACCACATTAACTGAACGACTACCGTTTATCTGATCGTCAGTTGACATAGAATTCTCCTCTTCGCCAAAAATGATAAAACTTTGTTCACAGTCAATAAGTTCCATATCAGCATGGTCATAGTTATCACAAGCGAAACTATCATTTACAAAGTCATCATCAATTTTGGATTTTTCAAGCAAAGGTCCTTTGGCAGTATTTTCTGAGCTAACATCTATAGGAGAAGAATTAGGAGGACCATCGTTTTTAGTTCTGACTAGGCTTGTCTTTTTGCTCCTGATAAAAGTACTGCTATATACAGCGTAATTTTCATCAGCTAATTGTCTACTATGTACAGAATTAGAATGATGTGACATTGCTTTAGCACCAACATTTCCAGACTCACACTGATTGCTTGATAAACGTCACAATAGGCTTTACATTTTCCGGACCAAGAAAATCTTTGCCTGATTCTGTTATTTTATTTCCCCTCTGCAATTTTATTTCATGTGATGCAGCAGTTTCAAATATTCTGTCTAGTTCCGCTTCAGTGCCTGTTGAATCGAGTGAGATATTACCAAGTGCTTCACCACCCAGTAGATTGCTGAATGATTCAAAAGAAACATCTTGATTACTAAGTACGGAATTGGTATAAGCGTGAGATTCGGTCTCAGTTATAGATTTCCCTGTTGGTGTCTGTAGCCCTTCTGAAAGGCCTACACTTTCCATGCTAGCTTTGAATTTATTGGAGGACATTATTTTAGATTGTTTATATAACTGTTCTTGGTTTGTGTCCCATTCTGATAATACAATATGAATGGATGAGTTGCTCTTTTGTGCCAGTTTGCTCTGAGAGAGTTTAGTCTCAGCGAAAAGGTCATTTTTGTGGCAGTTTTCCGTTGTATTTTTCATAGAAGAATAATGAAATTCATGTTGCGAATCCTTATCTACTTTATAGTTATTTATATTCAAACTCTCTTTCAATGCTTGTGGCCTTCCTTTCTTTGATAATGGGTTGCCACTTTTAGCTAACTTTGGTTGGTGTTCTTGTGTTTTTGAAGTTAAGTTTTCTTTATTTTCTTCAGCTTCGTGGTTGATGCCTACAGGGATTATTGTGATCTTCAGTTTTTTCTGTCCGATCTGGGTCTGTCAAATAAGAGATTAGGTATTTATTTATACAAATATCATAGTACATGGTTTAATCATGCACATATTTAAGCTCAACAATTTTGATAATTTAAATGATTTACAATATTTTACATCCGTATACTTTGTAAGTGAATTAAGACAATAAAACAGAAGACCATACATCTGTACAATAATTTCCTGGGTTGTATAGATTAGGATAGTAGAAAAAGCCATAATCGACCTGTGGATAAATGAAAGGAATGAAGTCAAATTACATTCAATTAGATCTGAATCTGAAAAGGGCCAAAGACTACACAAGATATTTGGCTATGAACATATCCACAATATTGCAAAAGCAGAAAATGAGATTTTTATGTTAGTGGGGTTTAAGTATTATTTACTAAAGGTGTTATGCTAAAAGGAGGATTTGAATAAATGGGTTTGAGGGGCCGGCGTATGCAAGATAGACAGTGGGCGTGAATTCAGCACAAACTACGCGAACTACAGATCTCGCAGCTACGCCACCATTGTGAATTAACTCCTATTCGGTCACAAATTTTAAAAATTTCTCACCTATACTGAGGCCATGGCTGCCATCCAGGAACGGCAGAATTTGCTTTTCTCAATTTAACCATCACATGAACATTTGATAACGTAGGTGAATTCACAAAAAATTCATCTTGAGACAATAAATTCATGCATAGCTTTCTGGAACACAGTGTTGAATGTCTGCTTGAAACTGGTACACATTCTTCATCTGGAAATAAAATCCAAAACAAATTTCAATTCCATTTGAAATTTTTCCTTCTGAGCAATTGAATTATGACCGAAAAGTCTATATTCAATTTCTAATTTCTGAATACTAACTTATTACTACACTTTATTAACTTTAATACTTTCATTTTAGAATATATTCAGCATAACAGAATTCCAGCAACTATCTTAGATATTTAGGAGAAAAGCAAGGCCAAATAGTTCAGAAACAAAAACTCTAAAAAAGTGATACCATATAGCAGTGGTCGGCAACCTTTTTTAGGTGACGGACCGGTAAAGCCTAACCAAAATTTTGGCGGACCACCTTTATAAAAACGAGCTAAGCTTACGTAGTAAATTATACACGTTAGAAAATTTATGTTGAAATTATCTCCAAAAACAGGGGTACCAGTGATGCTATTTAATGCGAGATCTGTATTTGTTTGTCCATTAACTGTTCCCATTTTGGAGATATGGTCGACAGTGATACACGTAACGTGTTTCTTAAGCCCACCCGATTTCGTTATTTCGTTTTTATAGTTGTAATTGTAAATAACGAAATCCCGACCCACATAAAAAGGTAACACTGTCTGTGAAGCTTATCTTGCAATGTATGAGTATTTATCTAAGAGTATCGACCAAAAGACTACCAAGATATATATATTTATATCGCAAATACGCTTTTCAACTTATTATCATTCGAAATTTTAATCCAGGGATTCGTTGTTGTTAGAGGTGTAGAGGTCTTTTGGGGACGCTGTCCGTTTTTATGTAATCTTTCTGCGGACCGGGAGTAATCTTTCCGCGGACCGGCGATGGGCCGCGGCCTGGTGGTTGCCGACTACTGCCATATAGTCTCAGTCAGCATAAAAGCATTTGTTGGAAATTTGCAAAATATGCTGCGAGACTTCTTGCAGTTGTATTTAAAATTCATCGAAGTATTCATTGAAATATTTCAAAAGATGATTTTCAAAAGTTCCACATGAAGTATAATATTGGGCTTTCCTATTTGTAATGTTCAATTATACTGCAAAGTTGGATAGGACATAGTTACTGAAATATTAAATATAACGAATCATCATCATGAAATATGACACGTAGCACATTAGTTTACTGTATGTTCAAGTAATTGATCATTAACCTTATGAACAAAGTACAATGGCTGAACAAATAGATCTCAAGGTTAATACAACAGTTTGAATACTCGAAGCAAGATTTATTTGAAAATTGCACGTTTACAAGAAATTTCATTAATAGGACTAATCTTTTATGAACAAAGGGTCTGTAAAAAGCTAATGTCTCATGTCTGAACGATAGTTGGTCATCGTTAATAATACATAGATAAGCTAATTAGACCATGAATTTGGCATTTTGCAAAATTGATTATGGTCATCATACTGATACAATCTATTTAAAATTTCTTCTATAACAGCAAAATAATTATGCAGGTCCCATATTTTATATAAGGCATTTTCCCTCCCTTACTCCATACAAGCGCTGATAACCTAATAAGAGAACAGTTTTGGTGAGATGCAAGTCTATCTGGTTCTTTACAACCTTCCAATCTATCACTTGTATGGCCGTAATGTGATTTCGATGAAAGTAAACTAGGTTCTTTACCTGTTACAAAGTGCAACAAATTCAATGAAAAAATTTCTTTTGGTGATGTAGGAGTTGCCCCGAGTAAAAGATCAACTTGGACTAAGTCCTTTGAACTGAAAACATCTGAGAGAGACTTCTGGAGGTTAGAAAGGTTTTCTAAGAATTTCAAGACTTGTTTTCTGATTGTGGCTTGCTGACGAGTCTTTGACAATCTGTAATAAAAGATTCATGGAAAAATGAATGAGAGTTTGAACAAGAGAGAGATGGAAAGATTTTGATTTATTTTCTGAATATATCAAAAATGTACAGATTACAATAAATGGAAAAAACTATCATAAAATATAATCAGAAGGGGCGGGTAAGACTACATGTTCAACTATGCAGACCGACCCCTAGATATAAAATAGATTAATGCAGTGCTCTTCAACCGGGTATACGGGTACCGTAAGTTGGGTATACAACTGATAAAGGGTATACGAAGGGTGTACAGCCTAAGTCAGGGATTCTAAATTCTAATATAAAAAATTATGACATATCCAAGCGGAGACAATGCACACATGAAATATAAAATGTCATTTATGCAAAGAACCAACATGAGCACATTGTTACATCACAAATTATATAGATAATGGGGTCACGTGTCTGGGTTTGTGATTTCAGCTGCCATTCACTTGGTTTGATTTATGTTCAACGTTATTACCGTTGACGCTAAGGTCGTTAATCAAATTTATAACTTGCGGACACTAGCCTATTAGATTGCATGATGATATCGCAATACAATATGTGCTTAAAATTTAATGTTCATTTAAGCTTTAATAAACATTTGTATCTGTATGGTATACAAAGTTCTTGAAAATATAAAAAAGGTTGAAGAACACTGGATTAATATATCTAAGTTGAGATCTTTGGCATCCAATGACTTGCACTTTATGGAACTTGCCAAAGGTTTCCATAAAATTATTGAAGTGTATTAGAAAAATTCAACAGAAATTTAAAAAAGTGTGTGACAGGCAATTTACATTCAGAACAGGGGCGGACACTTTCCATAATTTTTTTTTGGGGGGGGGGGGGGGGGGAACTTGGATCGCCTACCGAAAAACACTGCGCCGTGTATCGTCACGTAACAATAACCTGTCGATGTCATTCTCTAAGTATTAGCATGTCATTTTGCTACTCATATATCGAGTACCTAGGCTGCTTTGCTCGGACACGCAACTTGCGCGTCACCGAACCAATTTCTTGAATTCCGCGAGAATTAGGCCACGGCTCTTGCTAACAAACAGAAAATACCAAAGTCGTATTAGGTTATTGTTTCAATTCCTAGTTCTGCAAAAAGCGCACTAACGCCGTTTCGTAAAATTAGAAATGCAAAACAAGGTAACAAGCTATTGTGCGAATTTTTTTCCTAAATTTTACCAAGAAATTATCATTTGAGTAGTAGAATTGCCATTATTGCCGATTTATTAAATCATCATTTGAACTCGACATAACATTCAGGATTCACGCAATGACTTTGTAGGGTTTTTATTTATAATTTAATACGAAAATAAACAGGCACAAGTTCAGGTGCGCAGCCAGGATTTAAAAAAAGGCGGGGGGGGGGGGGGGGGCGCTCGTTAAAAGAGCCGCCTATTTAATCGTATAATGATTTTTCTGTCGATCCATGACAGCCACGAGATTCTAAGATGTTCTTATATATTAATTTAATAGTGTGCAACGTAACTAGCCGATGCGACTTCTTACGTCAAAATAAAAATATTACTAAACTAAAGTACTACGGCGATATGTGGACATAACAATATGAGATAAGCTGCCTGATGTATTTAATCTTGATATCTATTTTTGCAATCCTCCGAACTCGTCATCGCCGTTACAAAAATAACGATATCTGATATAAAATCCCATATAGTACAATTCTAATTTATACAATGAAAATAATTATAAAGTATACTAGTAAATCAAAAATACAAATTCACCGCCTCGAAATCCACGCGGAACAGTCGCCGAGAATACGCCACTTGTTAAAAGAGCCGACTTTATCAACGAAAAATGATTTTTCACTTGTGCAAAGTAATCAATCAAAGACCGATACAGGCATATTCAAAATGTCTTGATTTATTAATTTAATCGTCTTCAATTTAAACTGCGGTTGAGTCGACAAAACAAGAGCCACTCTAAAACACAACGGCAATCGGCGGACATAAAAATGTGCGGTAAACTGCCCGTTTATATATTTTGATCTGTATTTTTGCTATTTTGCGAATTCGATAAATTTGAGATGTACTTGTCACACTGGCTCCGCTCAATCGCAATGTTGTCACTCCGATTATTTTTAAATATAAAACCTTTAGAAAAATCCGTAAATTTTCTGTCAATTCTCACGTAGTAAAAGTTATTTCAGTACAATAAAAATACATAAAATAAATACAAAAAGTGATCGAATATACTTTAATTATCTTATATATCATCACAAACCGGGGAAAAGTCGCGTTCTCAGCTTTGTTTGATAACACGAAAATTTTCGACGTCAATTTAAAAGTAATGGGTAAAAAGGCAAATCCCGCTCACAATTGACCGTGTTTTGATTTTAGTGACAAAATGTTTTTAAAGGTCAAGCAAACATAATTTGTGCCGTAGGGACACGAAATTTTGCGATTTTCGATGCCTAGAAAAGCGTTTTTAGACTGTCGCGGGCCTCAACAAAACTTATATTGTTTACAGTTTTATTTTTAGTATTTTATAATTCCGCTTCTCAACTTTTCGACATAGTAAATGCTTTGATCTTTGCCCGCAAATTATGCTGGGCCTTGCACGAAATCCATAACGTGAAAAGATACGTCCAGCGGTGAAAATTGTACTTAACAACTTTAGATCTAGTTAATTTTTTAGCGATAATAATTAATTGTTGTAATGAAACACAGTTTGCCTCTTTCACTTCTCTCGCAAGTGCCAACATTAACACTATTGAAAGATTTTGACAATGAGAAAATCATATTAAATTGTACAAAAATGAATTAGTTGTGCAAAACCGTGGCGCGTGATCGGCGGTGCATTTGAAGACGGAGTATTACCCGTGCGGGCGCGCATGTTTTACGAAAATGTGAGGTGCTCCAAGGCGCTCTGGTCCACATTAATGTAAGAAAACAGTCATAATATCGGTAACTATCAACCGTATAATTGCGCTTCTTTCGGAAATGATAATTTTGTAAGGCGGAAACAACATGTATTAATTTTATTAATTAATTATTAATTTTATTAATTATTCGAAATTATTGGGGGGGGGGGGGGGGGGGGGCGACCTGCTTCAAGTCTCACAAAACTCTGCATTCACTGACCATAAATATATATAGACAGGCCAAAAATAGGTCAACAGTTATTAAATTAATGGTGCTCCCGAAGTATGCGAACCAAGATGGCGGACATCGGAACGTAACATGGGTAACAGGTTAGGGTTAGGCGATAATTTTTTTCCAATTTTCCTTATTTTAGTCCTATTATCAGTTCGAAGACTAGCCAAGAGCCTCCAATAGTATTTATACCTAAAATTATGGCCTAACCCTAACCTAGTACACATATTACATTCCGATGTCCGCCATCTTGGTTCCCATACTTCGGGAGCCCCAAATTGATAATTATTGATAACTGTTATGTGTTATCCTACTTTGGGCCCACTCTCTATTTTCAGTACCAGGGTTGTCCATAACGAATCGAATATTCGAATGTATTCGAATATCAAAGTACCGGTATTCGAATACCTTTTGGGCTGATTTTCTAATAATTCCGAATAATAACCACTTTTTGCCGTCAGCGAGATGTTTTGTTTTGATAAATCTTCAAACGATTTTCTGCCCTTTGTCACGTAATGCAATGGCGGTGAAATAGTATCGGCAGTAGTACCTATTATATGATTTTAGTGGGTGCTGTCTGCTGTGCCATTATTGATTAACTTTGCTTAAAGAAGAATCTCATTCAATTATGAGTGGGCGCAATATTGTTTTAAGTAAATTCTCTCAAAAATTGAGTTTCCATTTATATATGCATTATTTATTGTGAAAGGAAACTGTGGCTGAGATAATATCAACTCACTTTGCTCTGGCTGTAGTTTTGTTTTCACTGTCAACGTCCTTTTCTGCATCTGAAAAATGATAAAATATTAATTCCGCTTATAATTAACTATATAGTACTTTACTGGGAATTCAGGAAACTGCAACAGTTCAAATGAACTGACCCAAAGATAACATAATACGTAAGTAAATGCTGTGTTTTGTGAAACTTGAAACAGTTCTAGTCCGTATGGTATATAACTTCATCCAATACCATATATTGTTTTTGTTTTGGTCGCAGATATATCAAATGAAGTAAAAATACTTTTACTGATTGAAAACATCAAACCTGGTTAGATATATTGAGAACTGACTTCATAATTAAATTGAACTTGTGAAGCAACTTTATGGACACCCTGTATATTATATTTTATCATTTATATTTAAAAATATTTCAATTTTCATCATGTATTATGAATCATATATTATTCGTGAGTGCCAAAACAATATATGGTATCGATAAATTCCCTTTGCAATTTTAAAAAAATTCGAAACTTTATGGACACTGTATATATTAGGTTATGTTCAACAAGAAATATAGAAAAATCTGGACTTTGGTGTTTGTATGTTGTGATAACTGGAATTTGAACATGGACATTATTCTTGAGGTAGCCTACTACCGAAGTATGTGAGCTAAGATGGCAGACACCGGATTGTAGTATTTGTACAGTAGTAGGTTAGGCCACAATTTCAGGTACAAATACTACGAGAGTCACTTGGCTAGTCCCCGAACTCGTAATATAACCAAAATAAGGAAAATTGGAAGAAAATTATATCCTAACCCTAACCTGGTACACATACTACGTTACGGTGTCTGCCATCCTGGTTCACATACTTCAGGAGTACCGTTTTTGATTTATTTTTTACTGTTATTACAAGTTTGATGAGCGTTTTTTTAAACATTTGAACATAAAACGAACTTACAATCTCTGAGTAAGAGTTGCACAGGTTCTGGTATTTGTTGTCTTTGATAAAGAAGAAAATTAATGAAGTCGATTGCAAGTTGGCATACTGTTGATTTGTCAGTGTTTGATGGAATTTCCAGCGTGATTGGCATTTCCTGAGCAATACAAATATTTATTGATTAGCTAAATCTAATGGAGTAGTTTGGCATCTCGAGCCTCAATATGCCTGCTTCAAAAAGGCTTGAAATTGTATTTACAGTGATATCAATTCACATCAAGCTATCATTGATAAGAAAATTTGAACAAATATAATTCTGTTACAGGGGGACTCAGAACCCATAGATTACATCTACAAAAATGAAGAAAATATATTCAACACTTCTGTTTGTGTATGGTTATACCCCAAAAGCGTCAGTAATTAAGGACGATTTGCCCAAAAGTTATGACCATTCAAGAATATGTTCCAAATGACCTGGTTCTGGGCCACTCTGTTTGCATCCAGAGTATCTATATTTTGCACAAATAGTGGCAATAAAATAATAATGTTTAAATGTGCTCAGTAAAAGAATGAAAACACTCTTTACGACCCGCTAACCTACGTCTGTATTACAGGCTGTTGTTGGTTGTGTTGTCTACTTGGCCTAACTTTCTTCCAAGTACAATTCAGAATTATAAAGTTATGCAGCCCTGTAGTGCAATACAAAAGCCCAAAATTGCACCAATATTATGACTTAACCCCATTTTAAATGATCCATAAATTAAACAACTCAAAATGTAAAGTCAATTCGAATATAAAATACAAATCTAAATATCTCACAGTTGTTGTTTCCACATTACGAGAATTTGTATTGCGTCTTCTTAGCACCATGATTATTTTAATCCTTCGGTAACTTGTTACATATTTGCAAAACTTAAAAGGTATTCCCCATATTATTTAAAACTTCAACTTTCGAATAGGGTATAATAACATCTATAATAAAGACAATTACAAAACATTATTTTGATATATGCATACTTAGTAATGATTACGAGACGGAGATAGAGTATATTTTTGCTCAGACGATGAAACTTTGAGATGCAACATGAAAAAAATGACACACATTTTCAGTCTAATACCAGATTGTCAGAAATAAAATATGAACAGATGAAACTGTTTAAGAATAGGATTTGCATATTTATCCCCGGGGGAGGGAAAAGTCGATTAGACGGCTTAACCATATGGAAAACCACAGCCGGCCTCTCGTTCAGTTACCATTCCATGTCGGGTATAGGATTAGTTAGTTATTTGTTTTTTTTCTGTAGCATGGACTTGATGGTGGTGGAAGCCGTATACATGAAAGCAATGAGAAAATTTGGTGATTCGAGACAGTTAATATGAGATTTTATAAGTCGAATGTTCAATTGCCACTGAAAAGAACTTAATATTGGGTACCATTATTAATCATCAATTTGGCTATGATAGGTGTAAAACCCAATGAAAGGTCTTATACTTCTTTTACTGCTTTGCAGATCCTGTAACACTATATTTTGTTGAGAGATACTGCAAACAAATAAAAAAAATTCAAACACATAGTCTTATAATGTAAAATTTGTTTTTGTTCAATAACGAATACGCACTTTTAACATTTCAAAATAAAAAGTAAATTCATCCTGGAAATTGTAGTACAAAATAGCACGGGTAAATAAGAGGTCGTAATCGATTTATTTTAGAGTAACATCATGGAGATAATGAGATACCTTGAGCAATTACTCAAAGTCATTGCAGAAGAGTAAAAAGAATTAATTTCAATGCAAGGATATATGCAGTATGTTTTTCGTCTTCAGAACCAGAGTAATTCAGACCAAAATGGAATACTTCATTTCGAAATTCAACTTTTCCTTTCTGATTTCCACTATTACGCTAATATTATTTTTTTAGGGTGTCATGAATATTTGAGCAGCGCTATTCAAATCCAAAATAGCTGAGTTCATTCTACCTTAGTCTGCAAGTCTAAAATTAAAAATTTAATGATGCGTGGCTAATTAGAATGATACACATCTAACAGTGAAGAATGGATGCTGCCATTTTATGTGACAACTGGACAATGATTTCCGAATTCTAACAAATATGATAATAAAATTGAAGCAGATAAGTTTGACCTCGGTTCGTGCATAACATACCGGTAATTAAGCTAATAATCTCGTCTCCAATAAATATTATTTTTAATGAATTAATATCAATAACACTATGATAATTCGAAACTTAATGTCTTGTGTGAAAGAATGTTGAAGTTCTCCCACTTTATGCAGTTATGGGTATTTGGCTATTAACTCTTTCACATGTGCAACATAGGCTTTTTGGGCATCTTCTTTGCTTGTACCCTTGCGACCGTTCCAGGCATCCCACTTAGCTTTACCGGTGAAATCCATCATTCCCGGCCGTGTTGTATTGCAATCACCTATTGTTGCCTGCTTGTACAGCGAATAGGTCTTCAGCATTTCTTCGTCTGATGGTCGCTGGGTGATATTCTTCACATCTTCAGCGGCTTTATCGAAATCTGCTGACGACATTCTGGTGGGTATTTCTGAAAACAATACTGTACGTTCTGGTCAAAATATTCGCAACAGTGTACCGGCGGTAATATGTGCATTCGTGTGGAAACTAAATTATTTAAACGGCAAGCACGCCACTCGTGGGCAAATTTTTCAGTTGGAGACAATTTATTTTCTTTACTTTCAATCAAGAAGTGGTGCAAAATGACGAAACAACAAACACACGGGACAAGAATTAATGGAAGTTGCCAAAACTTTAAATGAGGTTTTTTAAAACGAAAGTACCACATATACAATCCGACATAGTCCCACAGGACCAGGGGCATGTCTAGAAGGGGGGGGGGGGGGGGGGGGCATGGAGGCAGCAGACCCGGACAGTGTGTAGCGGTGAAATTGTTACTTAGTTTGGTGGTTCTAATATTGATAATGCAAACATTTCACTCTAACTTGACCTTTGATGATTTATTCCCATGTATCACAGCATCAATAACTTGTTTATCCCCAAAATTATATTTTGAAGTTAGGTATAAGGGGCGTCTTTATCGGAAACTCTCTCTCGGCAGCAAAAAAGTTTGACACGCCCTGAAATAAGCACATAAGAGCCTAAATGCTACATGACAACAGGTACTATGCTTGTTGTTACTTATGCACCGTCTCTGATGCGAAAATATTCTTCTATAATCGAATTAAGCTCGTGGGCATTCTGATAATACACTTAAATAAAAATACACCTGTTTTAGCATCTATAACAGTGGTTCCCAACATTCTTCCTGTCGTTGCCCATTTTTGATGTACAAAAATTCTGTGGCCTTATAACGCTCTCATGTGAGGGAAAACGACGCTAGACTACCCAGGGGTCCCCAAATAACACTCCAATGCAACAAATTGTCTGGACAGCTCTGCTGGCATACCCGCAACATGCTGTCTTACTCCTAAGGAGGCAAAGCAACACAACGATTATTGAATCGATTATATTTGACATTATTACATAACACAGAGAACAATAAAAATACATTAACGACATCATAATGTCCCACATATTAACAATGTCCAAACCCTGAAATTTAGAAAAAACTGAAATAGATGTTCGCCAAATCGAAGTCCAATATTTCAATACACAATCAGAAAAAACAGCGAAGGCTGGTTATAAAACGAGGATATTTATTTTCACAAAATGTGGGCAAAGGACTTGTCCTCTAAAAAGAGGGCATACACAAAATTACCGACCTTACAATACGTACGATAACACAAAAGTCGTCCCAAGAGTTAAAAATTGCTACATTTCAGACAAAGCAATACAAACAGTTTAAAAAAGTGTTCAGTAACAAATCGTTTGTACCCATTATTACAAAACTATTACCCTTTGACAAAAAAGATAAAAAATGAATTAAAAATATACAGCTCATTGTGATTACACAAAGCAGCTAAATTACAAAATACAGGGCTATAATCAACTCATGATTGGCAAAAAATTAAAAACACTAAAAAAACTACTGTATCCCATTTGTCACATCAGAGTAATAATCAGTAAACAACCAAGTGGATCACCAAATCCGAGCTGTCTTGATGTTTATTTAAAACAAAATTGCATGGCCAAACTCGGGATTGCGGTCAGGTCGATATGGTGTAAAAATATAGGTCCAGATTGACGTTTGAACAGACTCCACCTTACATAGCTTTTAAAATACTGCCGTAGTGCGTGTACCAGATTAGGGCATAATTTTATTCCAATTCGGCGTCTGTCTGTGTTAGCCAGATGAATATACTGCCCAATAGGTTTCAGTCCCTTTACATATCTTGATATAAAGTAGGCCAACAAAATTAGTTACCTCCATATTGGTACACACACTTCCGGAGGCCGTTTTAAGGTTCCTCAAAGCTTAGAACACACACAAGGCTCATTGAGCCATCAATAAAAACATGATAGATATTAGATGGCAGTTCAACTTACTTAGTTATGAGATGATTCATTCAGTACATGTTTTTTGGTAAGTTTTTTTGATTCTGTCTGTAGTAAAAGGGCAGTCCCAAATAATCCTATGAACTTTTTTGCTTAGAATGTATAACAGTAAAAAATATGGGGCTGCCAAATTGCAGGATATTGCTACTTAAAGCCCTAAATAAATGCAGAAGCTCGTGCAGCAGAAACCCTAAAGCAGTGAATATTGAAGTTATGATATGCTTGGTGAAAATCATCCCATGACATTTTCCAATGTTTTAGATTGGAGGAGATACAAGTGTCTGAATAAGATATGAGCAAAGTGGTTGAATAACATAACGCTGGTCTAAAATCTCGCTGAGAGCAAACACCATAAAACACTAAATTAAAAACTCAAGGCCAGACTATGATAATACAATTCATCAAAGAGTAAAAACGTTGCTAAAAGCATAAAAATAAGAAAGTACTGCATTAAAATGAAATTCATAGTGTACCATCTTCAGTTTAAAGTCTAGTTATTAAATGGAAGCGGAACAATTTTTCATATTATAACACTAGGAATCATAGTCTTCGAATTTCATTCTGAATGTAACTTTACAAAGATGTCTGAAGAATTTCATTTGAATCAAACTAAAAAGCTCAAATATCTTAATCGCCTTCTAAATTTGTTTTTTTGAAATACATTTAAACAAAATATGTTGGATAAATTAGACTTCTGTAGCATTCATGATTATGATATGAATTGCACTGAGTGGCTCAGGCTGTACCAGATGAAAAAAAAATGAACTTCATTAAGCTGATGGGCTTGGTATATGAAAAAGCATGCAATCAATGCTGGCTCTACAATTTCTTACCTCATCAAATTTTCTGTCAGGAAAATGTGATAGAACATTAAATATAACTTGATGTTGACGAAAATGCAGAAACTTAACCCCAAATTTAGCACCAAAAATCATATATGTACAAAAATTTAAAGGCGTATCATATGCAAAAATCTTTCAAATCAACTCAGAAAAAAGCTGTGAAAATATTTCAGGAAGTATTAAATAAATGCACAAATAGCGATATTTATACACTGCCATGTATTTGCCATTGATAAAGTTTGTGCTTTATCCTTGGCCATTGGTTGGCTAATGACAATCTCGAACCGGGCTATATGGCACTGTTGGAAGTGGATACTGAGAAGGCAGAATCAAGTTTGTACTGGAATAAACCGGAATGGTCCAGTTTTGATTTCATAATCATCAGCAAGTTATTTTTTATACAAATTTGCTCGAATCATGGTTGTAAACGTTGATAAAAAACAAAAAATTTAATTTAAAACAATTGGACATAATAGAATTTCAATGAGCTCTTGACTGGATCTGAAATAGAGTACAAGAGAGATAGATCAAAATTTGGGAAGCTCGTATTTAAGCCCTTGTAACTAATTAATTCAAACTAATCTAATTTTCTTGGAGAATCATTTAGACCAGGGGTGTGCTGTGCAACTTTTTGATACAGGAGGCCAGATTCAAACAACTGGGAGAAACTGCGAGTCGCATCTTTATTTAAAATAGGCTTTCCAGAGTTGCAAGCTCGAACATTCTGGCTATTGATCTTATGACATGCGTTGTTCACTTCGACAAGCTAGCTGTAAGTATATTGTAACGTCATATGCAGAGATATTAAGTTGGACTCGGGTATAGGTTTAGCGACGCAAAGGGATTGGAGACCCCATTCAAAATTGACACTTCTCCGCGGGCCGCACAATTTGTATTAGTGGGCCGCATGTTGCACACCCCTGATTTAGACTCATCAAGGACTTTTATGAACAGGTATACCGTCTTGTATAACCACCGCTCAAATACTAACACCATTCAAGAAAATGTAAGAACTGGACACTTTAGGGTGCTCCTGAAGTATGCGCACCAAGAACCTGAACCCTAACCTGATACATGAGTTCAGGTTGTGCGCCATCTTGGTGTGCATACTTCAGAAGGTCCCACTTTAGTTTAGTTTAATAAAAAATGCACTGAGATATGAACTTATAATACCTAGAGGCACGATTCCCGATCACCTAAAATTGCAGATAAATAAAAATACTAGCTGTTAAAAAGTTGGCGAAGGGATAACAATATTCGAGCCCTAAAGTAAAAAAACGCCTTGCTAAAGTTGTCCCATACAAAAATGTAACACCATACCAGCCATGTTGATTTTGATCAGTGTAAATTAGATCATAAAAAACTAAAATTACAAAATCCAAATTCTGCATATCAAACTAAAACGCTGATGCGGAAGCGGCAAAATAAAAACTCAAACAAAGTCAATTGGGACACTGGGTGGCGCTATGGCAGTCTGCCATAATTACTTGTTGTAGTCTCTGAACAGCAATTCTTTATTCTCTAATCAGCAGAATCGGAACGCTTGCTGGGAGAAGTCACTATCTGACCTGTGGACGCCTCTTGATTCTGCCAAACACCATTCTAAATAATAATAAATATGAGTAATGATTGATTTCCATATCAAATCAACCCTAAATTAGAAAAAAGATCACAGCACAGAAACATTTGATGCAAAAATGAATCCTATTCACAGAATATTATACTTGAACAAACAAAATATACAGGGTTTTGAAAAAGTAACACAAAATTAACAGAAGTTAAGATGAAATGCTACTTAAAACATTTAACGACTGACACCTTTTAACAGTATTGAATTACAGTGAAATGCCATTTGAACATTTCACGACTGACGCATTTTAACAGTTACACTTTTTAAATTGCCATGACAAAAAATGTTACTTCACTGTTGCGTAACTTTTTAACACACTTTATATTAATAACTAGACCAGAGCGGCCACCATACCCAAGATAAATTTGATGAAGTGCAACATAACATGTGATGTTCTACAGAATGATATGAACAATGTTCCCCTTATTTAACAACATTTCCATTTGCAAATGCAGTAATGTTATATGGGATGTGGAGAGGCTCATGTCATTTATCCGAGACTCGTGACCAGTGGTTCTCAAACTTTTCCCACTTTTTGTAATTTGCCAAGTCTCCCGCCCACCTCAAAAATAACTAGCTAACGATAAGCTACAAACATCAGATAGTAAAGCGAAAGTATGTTTTATTCAAAAAACACGTTGAAAATACATGAATGGAAAATAGATATCCAAAATAAGGCAAGATAAAATATGGCAATTTTAACTCCACGGCCCCTCAAAAATTTTTTCCACCCCCCTTGTGGGTCGCACACCGACGTTTGGGAACCACCTGTCTAGAGGAAACAATGAAGAATCACCGAGCAAACCTCTCTCTTTGTTTATCCCTATAGTTCAATATAAATAAAAGCTTTACAAAAATCGGAATCACTATTGTTGAGTAGTAAAGCAGGGATTTTCACAATTGTTGATTAAAGAAGATTCACAATACCTGTGGGCTGTACATGTTGTGGCCTTGACCGCCAGCTATGCTGCCTTCATTGTCGTATCCGATACTCTAGAAGAAAAAAATAACATGATAGGATTTTCATATTTAGCCTGGGAGGAAAGGTGATAAGAACGCTTATAAAGTAAAGCATCTTGTCTGGTCAATGTTGGGTATGGGATTAATTAGGTACTCCTGTAGTGTGTGTAGAAGGTAAGGGTTAGGCCATGGTTTTATTCGGATTTCCCTTATTTTAGTTCTATTGCGAGTTCGGGGACTGTCTGTGTTAGCCAAATGAATATACCCCCTGCCCATAGGTTTCAGTCCCTTTACACAACTCGATGTAAAATAGGATGCAAATTTTAGATTTTAGTTTATCATGAGAAATTATATCTACTTAAACCTGGAACCTAACCCCAAATCAATCAAAACTGTATCCATGAGGAAAATGTTCAACTTACTCAAAGTGTGTCACCAGTCTTGCTATTACAGCCTACATGCCTTGGTTTGGGGCAGCATAATTTCACCCGCCATGGTTTTCAGTTTGCTGCCGCGGTAACTCACCTCACGCCATTTGTTTGTGGCAGCTAAAAAGTCAGCCACCATGGTTTGACCATATCGGCCATGGTTTAGCGGCAGCTTCAGACGCCACATGGTGCTTAAAACTGCACTTGAATAAAAGTTGATTGACTAGAAAAAAGCATTTCACAAACCTGTTGTTGATTTTGATAATTTTCTCCATTAACACCCATGAACATTTCTCCAGTGTTTCCTCCTGCTTGTGGGTATCCACTCTGTGACGATGGACTGGAGTAATCTGAACAAACGGTTTTTAAATCAAGTTACCAGGGTTCTGTAAAAGAAACCTAGGGCTCCGCGAGCTATTCGTTTACTTATAAAAATAAAATCGTTTTCTGAATATTAGCATCATTAAATATAGTCTTCCTCTTCACATCTGTAACGTGAACTAGTTGCAATTGCGATAGGAAATCGAATTTATTTCAGGATAAGTAATGATATGATAAACCTAATCCTCTAGTCCACATAACATGTGTTGATTCGTGAAACAAAATTGTCCAATTAAGTTTTTATTCAAATGATCAGCATTACAGTAATACTTACACAACTTGCCTATCTATTATCTATCCTGATACAACCCTAAGTGCACACTTACTATGCCCAGATGTTGGGGTCGTTGGTGTTGAACTGTTGGGAGATCCGTGGATTTGTGCTCCACCAGCAGGTGGCGTAGTAGGAGCGTTTTGTCCTCCTGGAGAAAACATATGTCCTCCAGTCATGTCTGTAAATTATAAATATTACAATTAGCATATTACAACTAGCAACTTCTAGGATATAAAGCAATTGAAGCGTTCAAGATAAAGTTTTTATTTCTGCAAAATATGACTTATCATAGAATACTATTTTTATCTATAACCTTCTTATGGGAAACATGAATATTAGCCTTTAACCCCTCAATAAACAATTGTAATAGTTTTTACTTATGATAGGGCAGTAAGTTGGGCATGAGATACAAAGTTGGGGGAGACTCTATAATTTTTTTGGATCAATGGCAGTCTTCAATGAAGATTTCCACAAAACAATGTTAAACTCTTTATCAAAAGGTAAGCAAAACACTGAAATAAATCAATTGAGCTCATTACTATTTGATCGATAATACATGGTCTCAATCGTCATTTGAATGACCTTTATCATATATTATTGAGCATATTGAACCACCATGTAGGCAGCCAGTTGCAATTAGGAAAGGGTATGTTTTACAAATAATCATTTAAATGCAGGGACACTGTTCTGCTCTAAAGACAATGGGTTAATACTGAATATATATGTCGTCCACAATCACCATTTGAATGGCCTTCGTTGTAGAGGCCATTGGGCAGCCATACAGCCAGAACTACTGGTTGGCTATACATAAACAGTTAGACCAGCAGGCAGCAAATTAGATTTTCTCGTCAGTCACATAAGAAATCAATGAATATAGTGCAGCTCAAACATATGATAGAGAATTAATATGAACATACCAGCACTGACAGCAGCCTGAGCAGTTTTAGCAGCATAGAGATTTGCTTCTTCCTGAAACTTCCCAATGTTTTTCTTGTATCGAATACGTTTGTTGCCAAACCAATTGGAAACCTGAACATATATATTTATGGATCTAAAATAATACAATTAGAAAAAAATAAAATGAAATGAGAAAAAAAATATCCTTATGAGTGATTTTCCAACATTATTGCTGTAAATGTGTCTAGTAACTAAGAGCCACTTTTTTTTCATAAAACACAAAAATGTTTTCACAAAACAATTAATGCCTACTCACACAGAAGTAAAGGCGACTTAATTCTGATAACAAAAGTATGCGTGTCCACTGAAATGCAAAAACTACTAAAACCCATACACGATTTTGATGCCGCTTTGGTCGAAAATAAAACAACGGTTTCTACGGAAACCCATACACAATTATGAAAATTAAACGAGAATATCGGTCAGAGACCGAAGACTTATAGATTGAAAGTTAGGGGATCCCCCAAAACAGCGCTCTTACTCCATAGTGACACCTTGTGTCCCATCACTAATTAATTAATAACTCGCTAATTATACGACATAATTTGCCCAAAATTAATAGGCTTCTGGTCCGAGATATGATGAATGCACATGCAAAATCTGGAGCAGATTCAATCTCGCTTTCGTGAGATATCGCGTGCATCTAACAGACAAACAGACAGACAAACAAATACCTATCAACATACTTTCCGATTAAAATCGATAAGTAACAAGGGTTGATGCAGGAGAAATTATGCATGGACAAGACCAGAATTTTCGATTTAGCATTGTGTCTTTACAAATTGGTAATAGGTAATATGGCCAACCTCTATTCTGTGATATTACAAAGATAATTCCTCAAATATTATTAAATTTTTAAATATTCCCAGCATCTGACTCATATTGAGTATTATATCAATAGAAGTTTATACCTATATATGACATTGTAATATTGGTCATTATACACACATTATACATTTCGACCGACCGCACAGCAATAACAATTAAAAATGTTGCCCAATTTTATAGTGATAACAATTGTAAGTTTATGGCAATTTTATTGCATGATAAATGAGAACTACAAGAACAATGGGTAACTATGAACAACTATGAAAAAACAAAGACAAAGGGATTTTTAATTGTTATCACTACAAAATCGGCTGAAATTTTTTGAAAACCCTGTATTGTATCAATGTTCTTTGAATTTTAATACACAAGACATTACAGTATAAATAAATTCTTGGCATCCCTACAGAAAGCGCAACGTACAATACATAATATCAATCCATCAGGGATTTAAAATTCATTAAATTTCATTAAAAATTTAATATTAAGGTGTCTAAGAATCCTGATATGTTTTCCCAGTGGAATAAAAATGTCAAATTGTCTGAATTTAATGTATTTGACCTGCTATGATAAACCACATTTTTAGTCTGGGCTAATCAATAATATACAGGTAGAAATTGTATAAGGGCCAATCATGCATGGTCAAAGCTAAATTGTATTATTTTGCTAAAATTTGAAGATGTTTTGAATTTGAAAATATGTTTTGAAATTGAACATGATCTAATCTATAAATATACATTCCAAGTTATTAGATAAAAATCTAAAAATGTGGACCACTTCAGCGATAATGAAAAACTCAGTTGGGTAACTCAAATCTCTTTTTAATCCAATTCTGTGTGGATTTTGAATGTATTCCAAATCGATAGAAACCTAACAAATATAACATAAATAAATCTTTATATTTAACATATTTGTATGGTGGAGAAGCCTAGACCAGTGGTTCCCAACCGCCGGTCCGCAGACCGGTGCCGATCCGCGAAGCTTTTTTGCCAGATCGTGAGAAATTTTGTTGTTTTTATGCCGTCTCAATCGCTTTACCGTAGACAAAGTTGCGTTGGCTCATTACGTAATTTTCTTCTGCCGTCTTTCACGACATCTTGGCGCCGATCACTCACATTTTTTCGCTTTTCCAGCTCCGATTCATCACGAATGCGCTTCATCAAATTTGCAAAATTATGAAGCCTAAAAATCGGCACGCGTGCTTTTTCTGTTCTGCGTGCTTTTCCTGATTAATATGACCGTCCATATAAAACATAATGGATATCTCCTTGTTTAGACTAGAAAACAGTCAAGAACGGTATAATAATCCAGTAAGATATGAACTTGTTGCGACCCCACAGGTGGTCACAAACACGTAAAAAAAGCATGGGCCGCAGAGATCTTTTCCAGACACAGTAGGATTTTGAGCTTGTCGCCAAGTTATCGACGACTTTGTCATTGTAATGCATATTCATTTCGTTTGAGGCGTCGATCAACTGCAGAGGGATTAATATGATATACTCAATGAAAAGAAAAGGCCTGATAAAATTGGTGATTCTTCTTTACAGTCCAGATTAAAAAAGAATTACTTATCATAATTTTAGATATCTCTTGATAACGAATACCCATCGCCAAGTAATCGAGCAATCAAGCTGTTGTCCGTCTTTTCAGCCAGTAACTGCGTTATGCGAAAAAAAACATTTTTATCACTAGATTCAATTAAAACGAAGCAAAGAAATCGGCTGCACGCGGCTGCAGAGCTACGTGTTGCAAAAGCTTCTTTGTGGCCTCGTTTGCAATCGTATATTGGAAACGAAACAGCAGCAAAATTCTCACAGGAGTTAACTGTGCATGTTTTTAATGTGAGAATTTTATGCGTGCCTTTCTTACGCATAATGGGTGCCCAGAACTGCATTTCATTACGCAAATATATGGTATTATTTTATGTTTCAACCAATTTTAATTTTTGGTCGGCACATTATTTGATAGTTATTCTCCATGTGAAATGTTTTAAAGTGTGCTTATTTGTCTATAAGCATATTGAGTGCCCGACATTGCATTATATGACGCAAATATATGTTATTCTTTTCTGTTACAGCCATTTCAATTTTTTGCCGGTCCGCGAGTACATTTAATCTAATTTTACCGGTCCGCCAGTATAGAAATGTTGGGAACCGCTGGCCTAGACTATATTTCTGTCCTATTGATGGAGCATAAAAATCCCAAAAGCTGATTATAACATTGTGCGTATAGGTATAGATAAATGACCTGTGTTGCGCTGAGATAAGTGTGTAAATTGAAGCATATTGTTAGAGTAATATTGGAAGTTGTCTCAATGTCAAATTTTGTGGTTTATGCAATTTCGCAGGAAACCATTTTTCGATAACAATAGTTTCACGCATAATTGCAGATTGACTTATCAGAATCAAAGACAACAAAGATGAACCCCAACAATAACCATGATTTGGCTTTCTAGCAGAAAAGACAGTCTTTTAATAACAGCAGCTAGTCTGAAGCTTTGTTAGGAGCACAGGTTTTAAAGACCAAATATACAGGTCACTAGAAAAGAGGAAAATTTGAAGGTCAAATGAGATCACAGCCACATGTAAAATGCATGCTTACTCATTACTTATCGATTTTGTATTTGTCTGTTTGTCTGTTAGATGCACGCGATATTTCACGAAAGCGAGATTGAATCTGCTCCAGATTTTGCATGTGCATTCATCATATGTCTGACGAGAAGCCTATTAATCTTGAATGAATTATGTCGTATAATTAGTGAGTTATTGATAAATTAGTGATGGGACACAAGGTGTCACTATGGAGTAAGAGCGCTGTTTTGGGGGATCCCCTTACTTTCGATCGATAAGTCTTCGGTCTCTGACCGATATTCTCGTTTATTTTTCGATACATTTTCACTTGTTTTAGGTTCTACTAGGGTAAGACACAGATCTGAAGTGAACGGACAACATTTTACGCACCTATGAGTGTGCTATAACAGGGGTGTCAAACTCGTGGGTTTTCGAGGGCCGCTTCGCATTTTGGGAATTGTGCAAAGGGCCACAAATAGTTTTTAATATATTTTGACAATGTATACTCGAAGCATATTTTTAGATAGGTATAGTTTGTGACATATATTGTGATGCAATTAAACAGCCGAATGAAGTTTTGGTATTTTCTCGAATTTCAAATGCCATTTACATATTAATTTTTGCATTTCAATATTATTGTAATTTACTGTATTTATTACAAAAAATCATAAATTTTTATGTACAACTATCCAAAACATTTTTGAAAAAAGTTTTGATAAGGAAAGAATAGGACATACACTAAAAATGACTTAATCTTAATATATAAAGCTAATATTTACAAAAATACTACAGAATAAACTTTTTTTTTTATTACATATGACCTGACGTTTGGCATCTCTTTTGTGCCACCAGCTTACTAATATCAGGCTTAAATGATTTTACAGCACCTACTCAAATTAACGAGGTCACATGATCATCAGTTATTCTGGATCGATGAGAATGTTTTAACAAAATATTACGTTTGTCATTGCATTTATAGATCAGTAAACAAACAAATGACTGACTTTTCGGACTAGACATTTCCCGCCACATTTGACGACATTTCCTATCATTACGTGGCATACGTGGAGTTATGTTTGATATTGATTTTCAGTAACTAGGTAGCCTTATTATGCCGTAATTATGATAATATACAAACACATAAATAAAATTTTGTTTAAAGTTGATCTTCAAATTGTTATATTGACTGCTGAGCTGATTTTGATAATGTCTACTTATATTGTATTCTTTCATTGTACTGATGGAAATGCGACAAATTAAACAATGTGCTTTGGAATTTTGAGAAATGTAGAAATATTGCAACTCCCACTTTTCTTCAAAATGCTACCTTCATCACACACTTTCACGTTTTATTTAATCTTTGAAGTTTTTTTTGTTCAAGTTATCTTTTGCTAGCTTGAGGTGTAACCAATTGGGTCCAATTGCAAACAAAAAATTTTTAATTTTCCAAAACTACTTTCAGCAAATTGTGGTTTTCTGTGTTAATAATCGATTTCACTTTAAAAGGTTTGAAAAATGTATTACATTTAGATAAAAAAAAAACTCAAAAAATTTTGGAAATATTGTTAGGCATTCGAGGGCCGCATTGGAAGTGCACTGGGGCCACATGTTTGACACCCCTGTACTATAACATGCGCATTTAAAAAACTTTATAAAAGTTATTTTTTGTAAAAATAAATATCTGTTTCACATATTTTCTGCTTGATCTGGTGATCGATCACCCTGTATAAAAATGCCTGATTTCACATCCAGTTGTTCAAAAACCCGAAGTAAAGAAGTTGTAAAATATTTTTAATCCGCATGCATACCTGAGATACTGTGATGCTACATTTTCTTGCCAATTCTTCTTTCGCTTCCTCACTTGGGTATGGATTACTCAAATGTGAATAAAAATATTCATTCAGTACTTCTGTAGCTTGCTTGCTGAAGTTACGACGCTTTCGTCTAAACAGGAACGAGAAAGTTGGTACTGTTTAAAAAACTGTATTGAAATATATTTCCTTGGTTTAGTGTTTTTCATTTCCCCTATTTGTTCAATTACTTCAACAGTTCAAGCTTGATTTAAAATTGTATTAATTCTTTTGTGCGCTTGTTTTTTTTTGTTGATAAATTCAACTAACGAAGAGAAATTAACTAAATCTTTTAAATTAAGTAAACAAAGTTCAGATGCAGATAAAGCTTTTGGATTCAACCATATTGGCATCAAAAGTTAAAAATCACGGGTTCAAATCACATGCCTGTTATCTAAAGCAATGGTTCCCGAACTTTTTTTGCTTGCGGCGCAAATAAGCAAATAAAATAAATTTTGCATGCATGCCTATGTGTAATACGAATAGCTTATTTTCTAAAATTCCAAGAAGATGTGCCGTGGGAACCTCTCGCGGCAAACTAGTATACCGGGGCACAAGTTTGAGAAACGCTGACCTAGTGTCTAATAAATTAGTTAGGCCAGGGTGGTCCAAACCCAGGCCCGCGGGCCACATGTGGCCACCTGCTTCATTATCTGTGGCCCGCGTCGCATTCGGAGAGGAATTAGAAAATCGCATTTCGTTTGTCATAAAATCAACCAAAATTTTTTTGACATATTGTTGCATCACTAATGTCACTGAATTGACTGGTGTTATGGCTTACTGAGGCAACTAGCGAAGTTAAACGCGCGAAGTTCTTGGCACGGAGCTGCCAATCTTGGACCACCCTGAGTTAGGCAATGTAGAAACAGGAAAGATTTTCGTCCTTACAAAATCTAGTATCTTTTTATGCATCAGCTTGTCCAAGTACAAATTCAAAGTGAAGATAAATAAGTCACAAAGGTTCGTGAAAATCAGAATGATATTATTTACAGAATATGACCATCAAGCTTTTTTGTTGTTAATGAAATACTGAATACTTTTAACACATGGTATTTCCTTAGATATCAGATGCGGCGCTCCAGAAGTATGTGTACCAATATGGAGGTAACTAATTTTGGTCGCCTACTTTACATCAAGTTGTGTAAAAGGACTGAAACCTATGGGCAGGTGGTATATTCACTTGGCTAACACAGACAGACTCCTAATGGAACTAAAAAAAGGAAAATCAGAATAAAATTATGGCCTAATCCTAACCTGATAGACACACTATGGGAGTACCTCAAAAGCTGCTTGCACAAAGCCTTTTTCCAAGAGAAAATAAAACTCACCTAGCATCTAGGAATCTTGATCTCAGAATCATCACAGCCTCACAAGTACTTTGTTTTAACTGTAGTTGGATGTTGTTGAATTTTTTGGTGATGATCGCAATCATTCTCTGAATTTCCTTGTTGGAGATTGGTCGAGTCCGACTTTGCTCACGAAGTAAGTTCATAACGTGAGTTGTGAATTCATTGCAAGCCTGGTGAGAAAAAAGAAATTTAATTTCTCATCTGTACATAGATATACAAGTGACATATATTTAAAAATAACGCGAATCTCTGTGGCCCAATGAATTGATCCCAAACCTTTTTCATTCCACAACCCCCTTTTATTGCCATTATTTTGTGTGGCCCACAATGAGATGTTAATATATGAAAAAGGTACTATCAATGCGAAACGACACATAATTCTAATTAATACATCTCACAGTGTTTCATAATTGTTACATAATGATGCCACACATTCACGAACTAATTCAAAATTGTATGTAACATTTAGAATTACTTAAATCAAATTTAGAAACATGCGACCGATTTTTAAGGGCTTTGCGATCCACTGGTTGGGAAGCACTGGCGTGTTGGTTAAAGCATTATACTTGAGTATGCCGATCTTACAAAAATAGTCACACATTGTGTAGCAATTACTACTATCATAGAGCCTTGTCTGGATTAAGACCGAAACGCAACGTAAAATGATGGAGAAACCCATGTTGGAATAGAAATAGGATATTTGATAAGTAGATTGGAAAATTTCACACATGAATGTTTAATGAACCTATATAACCACATTATAACAAATCATTAAAACATTCAGTTTACGACGAATGAAAAGTCAACAGGAGTCCAAAGTTGTTATTAAAGTATAAAAATAATAAACTTGTAATTGCTAAACACAACACAAAAGAAGATTTCACTTCTTCAAATATTCAACTTTAAAGACTACAACCATCATTTTATAGTAAAAAGTTTTATTCACTCATTTCCATTTATGTGGCGCGGTTTGTAGGTCTGATTTTGAAAAAGTTTATTTGAAGTTTTCATTAGATGAACCATAGCCAAACAAGTAATAATGTTTCAATACAATATAAAATAATTTCAACAAATCCATGCCATTAACTCATAAAAAGCTTCATATCAATTTTCGTCCTGATGAAAAGTAACTTATCCATTTTATTGTCCAAAGAATGATTAGTTGACTGTTCACGGACATGGCAACGAACACCCTTCCCCCTTTTCACAATGGTCATTAATAATAATAATTATCAATAAAACTTTCTTGAATATTCGTTTCACAATGGCTTAAATTTAAATATATGGCCTGTGCGAAAACAATCCACGAAGTGTGTAATGTGATTGATTGATCATGACAATGATGCAAACGGTTGTTTTATGTTTACAAGGATTTTATCAAAAGCCAATAAAGTCCTTCGAATAACTATTTTACAGAGGCATTTACAGTCATTTATTTGATATTTGTTTGGAATAGAAGAATTCTGTTCTACTCTATCCATGACTGACCTGGTTATATTTCTCCAGTTCAGAATGATATATCTGTCGTATCTGTGACAACTTTGCTCGATAGTCGCTATGTTCCGCGCTGTCATTTCCGCCACTAGATGCCGCTGCAGCCACGGCAGCCGCTGATCCACTTCCTTCCGGTCCAGCTACTCCCTGGAATGAAGAAGGAATAAGTTTTAGAAAACTTTATGGAATTATATTTTTTGTCTCGTGGCTATATGGACTGACGGACTTCACCTCCGCTTCAAGTTGACATTTCTATTTTGTGATCTCAAAATAGCAATGTCGACAATCCAACCCAGGGATGGGAGAAGTTTTTGGGCCAGAGGCCGGAGGGCAATTTATTGTGACATAATAATTTAGATATCATTTTTCATGAATCATAGTGCAGTAGAGGGATGCAGAAACAGATTATTAGAAACCATTGGGAAAAGATAGACTAGATTACATAGTAAGAATGCGTGATCTATGAACAAAAAAGAATGTTATGGGGGCGTTAACAAAACTTTGTGGGCACTAAATTGAAAATTGAGGCTGTGCATTACCGCACACAACAAACGTGCGAGAAAGAGGTGTAAAAAGCACGCTGTCAAAACAAGTGTGCAAGAAAAGTTTTGTTAACATCCCCATAGCATGAAAGTCTGTGGCAACCTAAAATACAATTACACAGACTTCAAAATCTCACTTCATAATCTAACAAGCCTATTTGGATTTGGCCCGCAGGTCAAACTTAGCCCATGTCAGCTTTCAACAATTAGGTCAATAAATCCTTTAAGTGTTAAATTTGCAAAAATAAAAAACTATCTTGTTCCTACAAATAACCATTTGCTTTTCGATATAAAACCAATATCCTGAACACACCTAGGTGATCCACCAAACCTCTACCATGGTAAACTTATTATTGACAAAACTCCTTAAATGTCCCCGTTGCATTTCTCATGTAATTATCAAGTATGTATCAAGTATATGTCAGTAAACAAAGTGACGCACATTGTTGCAACACAAAACCGTAATAGCGTACAACAAAATGTATAGAATATCATGTGTTAAACTCACAACTCAATACCAAGTTTTATTTGCTGTATGACGTCCCTACCGCATATAAATGAAATCCAAATGAATTTAATCACCTGCACTTAACTAAAAAAATCCTGGTTTCAAAAAAAATGTCCCAGATTTATTTCTTGCACTATTTATTGATAATCACCAATAAACTTGACATCCCATTTATCCATAAATATCCCAGAAAAGTTTAAATGGTAATGTCTGACATCCTCGTAAACAATAAGCCTATTTGGCCCGTTCATTTATTGACAAGTTCGAAAAGAAAAATCTAAAACTTGAAATAAATTCTAATCCTTTAGTGATAAATAACATTATGTAACCTATGTAATTTTATTTGATAACCCATTAAATAGTGCAAAGTATTTAATTAAGCCTGTTCATTTATTAAAAAGAACGACATAATATAATGTCAATATATAGGGTGTCCATGAAGTCTTTCAAACTTTTTTTAAAATTGCAAAGGGAATTTATCGATACCATAAAAAGTTTTGGCCCTCACAGATGTATCAAATGAAGTAAAAATACTTGAATAAGTACTGATTTAAAAATAATAAACCTGGTTCGGATATACTGTAATTAAAATTGTAAAGGGACTTTATAGACACCCTGTATATTACAAGGATAATTTCCATATGTATAGTTATTCATAGGTCCGTGCATACATAGAGAAACATATTATTCAATTCAACTCTCTAGTTAGGACTAATGGCATGCCACACGCAAATATATTTGGAATGGTGTGACCAGGTGAAGTTCAAAGGTAATATAACTGGTGTTCTCCCTTGTGCTAAACACCCTAATATAACTTTCATAGAAATAAACCAAACCTCGATTACATAAGCATTTATTTATGAGGTATTGACGTACATTAAACCACAAAAATCTCAATCAAAAAGTTACCAAACAAATACCCCAACTTTTTTTAGGTGCTAACCCCTTTGAAAAACTTAGATTTACCCTAATGCTATTATAAAAAATGATTTAATAATTTTAAAATATCAAAGTCGTGTACAAGTAATCTAGAATCATAAGCGACAAGGGAGTACCCTTTAATAATGACCTTTTAGTCACCTTCATAAATATTCCATAGGTCCTCATAGTGACCATTATTGCAACATATGTCAAGAAAAATAATTGTGAAATTCGTCTATGTACATTATGATGTAATTGTTAAATCATAAAGGTTAAATAAAATATTTATAAGAAAAATTCTTGGTGAACCAAGTTTGAAATTCCTGTGTACTTAACATAGAACTTCACAGGGTTATTTCCCAAGTGCATGCTGATTGATAAAAAGTACAAAACCGGAGTGCATTGATGAGATTCTTCATTTCTCTCATATTTTTTGGCAAAAAACTTAATAAAGCAGAGTAATGTTGGTAACATTAATTTTTGCAATCAGAAAATATTCGATGAGATTATTAAGAGTATCAGTTATGGCGATTCTGTTTTTATGATATTAGATTTTGTGAAATGATAAGAGCATAGCTCTAAGCAAGGTCACTCAGAAATAAAGAAATCCTTCTAAGAGTACGCAACAGTGCTTTCCAAACTGCGGTCCGCGAGCCAATTACGGTCCACGAAACGATTAAATATGGCCCACTGAACTTAGTGAAAAAGTTTAACACTTGATGTTTTCAACTTTTTACGTCCTAGATACCACAAATTGAGCACATGTATATTTGTACCGATTCAGTTTGGTATCTCAATTATACGTATCGGTGGTACTGGTATCAGCCCTATGCTGGCGCTCCCTCCCATGCATACAGTGTATCTACGTAAAATCATGCTCATGGCAAAGTCTAAAAATGCGCCCCCTTGATTGTTGTTTGTCAATTTATAACGACTATTATTGAATTGGGATACCCAATTTCAAATTATTTTTTTAAAACTTTTAATGATTAATGCTTTTCGTCGTTTTTGCACCCCTGCCCAAACGACGCCCATGGTACGAGCCATGGCTGCCACATCCTAGGTACGCCACTGCTTCCATGCATATAGCCAAGAGCCTCCCGTAGTATTTATACCTAAAATTATGGCCTAACCCTAACCTAGTACACATATTACATTCCGATGTCTGCCATCTTGGTTCGCATACTTCGGGAGCACCGGCAAATCTAAATGCTAAATAAACAGCTAAACCACTGAGAAATTATTCTCTACATTTTTGATCACACGGATACAAGTTAGCGTTATATAATGTGAGACTTGAAACAACTCAAGTCAGTATTGTAAGGAAAACATCTTTGGAGCCATACAGTGTCAGGTTTCAAGAACTTAAATTCAAAACCTCCAATAACAGTATACTGTGAAATGACTGTATAATTCACATTTGGAGAAAAATTGTAATGCTATCATCATACATTTTTTCCCTTGCTGCTTAAAAACTTGGGCTATGTTGGCCAAGACATTATATATGTATTAAAATAGAACAAATATATTTGTGCTCTTCTCTGATTTTTTAGTTTTCAAGATCTATAACATTTGATTGGAAAAAAAAACATGGATCGTTCTGAAATCCTAATGATGACATTATTATTATGTCTTGGCATTATCAACGTCATCAATGCCGAAAAGTGAGTAAAAAACTTTTCTTGAGATATTTTTGAACATTTTTACTTTGTTTAAAAATAAATATTTTCTATCATGTAGGCTTCAACATGTTAGTTGGTTATCACAACATTCCAAGGACAGGTTCGGAGGAACCAAAGAGAACCCCTGATTCCCGCTACTGTTTATATATCTCCCTCGTTATGTTCCCCACCACTGTAGGCCACTGTAAGTTAAGATGAAATGCTACTCAAACCATGCAACGACTGACAGTCTGACACCTTTTAACAGTATTAAATAACTGTGAAATGTCATTTGGACAATTTCACGACGGACGCTTTCTAACAGTTACTTTTTTAACGTTCCCATGACAAAAAATTTTACCCAAATTTTGCATAACTTTTTTAACACCCTGTACATCCCTCGCTATGTGATTTTAATAATGAGAAATGCCTAGTGCACTGCCTGCACCAGAAGTGTGTGTACCAATATGGAGTTAACTAACAGGGGTTATATTCACTTGGCCAAGACAGTCCCCGAACTCGTAATGGAACTAAAATAATGAGAATCGAAATAAAATTATGGCCTAACCCTAACCTGGTACACACACTACGTGAGTACCAAGCTATATATTAAAGCCTTATTCAATTGAAGGTTTTGCAAAACCCAATTTCGACACATTCTTATGATTTAAATAGACCCGTCGTGCCGAGCGTGGAGGAAGTTGTCACTTCAAATCAACAATTGGGAAGGAATAGACAAGAGCGCAGTACAATATCGATATCTCTTGCAGAACTTCGCAACATGATACAAAATGAAATTGAGGTAGCTTTTCTCTTTTTATTCAACAAGCTCGCTAAATTCAGAATCTTGGGAAATCTAAATTTTAATGGATGTTTTGGTCTATTAGTACTTTTTTCTTAATATAATATATAATAGAATTGTGTCTTGCAACACTTTTATCTATCCAAAGTGTTGACTTACTAGATTATTCGTCTATCTTAAATTGACCAAATATCAGTGGTTCCCCAACTGGGGCCAATTACGACTCATTTAACGATTTAATAGGGCCTGCCGAACTAAAGTCAAATAGTTTAACACTTATGTATTTACTTATCGATTTTAATCGGTAAGTATGTTGATAGGTATTTGTCTGTTTGTCTGTCTGTCTGTTAAATGCACACAATATCTCACAAAAGTGAGATTGATTCTGCTTCAAATTTTGCATGTGCATTCATCATATCTCGAACCAGAAGCTTATTGATTTTGGATGAATTATGTCGTATAATTAGCGAGTTATTAATTAATTAGTGATGGGACACGCGGTGTCACTATAGAGCCATGAATCGAAACCGCAGTTTCGATCGATAAGTCTTCGGTCTCCGACCGATATTCTCGTTTAAATTTTTGCTAGATAGTTCCAGACACCACCAATTGTTACGTCATTATCACAGTTCAAGCACATGTATAATTGTAACAAATCAATCATACCGGTAGCTTAATTATATGCACCGTTATCGGCCCTTGCAAGCACTCCCCCCTCTCAATCCGCATATATCCTTTTCCTTCTAAATTTGGCCCCCAGTCAACGTTGGGAATCACTGATTTATATTATTATATAAAGTTTGGTATTTTTAAATTGTGCGACAGTTCCCTGCCTTCACAACAAATACAACTTTGTATCCATTGATATGTTTAGAGCTACTACGTGATCTTTATAGTTTGGTATTGCTTACTCAAATTATTATATACTTGAAGTGTCAGACATGGGGTTTGAACCCATGATCTCAAACTTAATGTGCCACCATAGTTTCTTAAATAAATTTCGGTTTCATATGATGAAGCGTAATAATTAGGAATGGGACAGAAATGTAAATTTATCTTGTAAATTCAATAAAAATTATAGTCACAGTGAAATGTCAAGCTTTACAAAAAGAACAATAATTTTGATTAACCAAAATATTGAAAAAAACTAAATTTGGTTTGATTTTGAAACATACTTGGGAAGTTGGAACTCGACTGATTGAACAATTTATTGCGAAATACAATTGCGTAATCTTGTGGATGTTTAATAACCACACTTGAAACCAGGTGATTCCCCCTTGTACTTTTGAAGTTGGAGAATGTCATACAAACAAAAACTTCCCAAGAAAATCTAATCACAAGAAAAGTTCCCCAATCTGCCATATCAAAATGGAATGCAGGCAATACCATATCTAACTTTTTAGTAGTTGCAAGCCCAAAAATGTCAGAAATTGATCTTAAAATATTGTTCGCTTGGACCAAGGTAGCAGTCAGTCCATTATAATGCCATAGGCATAGATAATACATTGGACAAGGATATAGGCTTGAAATTACTCGCAGTTGCCAATATAAACTAAATTAAGTTTTGAAAAAATCGTGTATTTGTAATATTTTGGTTCAAACAGCCAACATAAAATGGATATAAGGCCTTACAGAACCTAAAATCAAAACTAAAACAAGCACTGCTTATGAATTGCATTGTTTATGAACAATATTTACAGTGTTACATAAGCAAAGGTGGGAGCTCATGCTCAAACTAAATTTAACCGCAATCTCAACAAATTCCTCATGCTATTTTAGCTAAAACATCAAAATTTGATTTCAGTTTGGTTGTGGCAGCATCAGGCGGGCCAGATTAAATTACCCAATGGGCCGGATTTGGCCCGCGGGCCATACTTTGCCCATGTTTGGTCTATAATGACCGAACACCGAAGATCAAAAATATTCATTTATGAAAAATGTGACACATTCTAATTTGGCTTTACTGAGGCATTAAGTTAATTGAGGTTCGACAAATTTTTTTTTAGAAATATGACAATCTCAAAAACAAGAGTCCGTTTGACGAATTTTATTCTCATGTGAAGAAAGTTTATGAAAAATGTGAAAAGTATTGTCCAAACGGAACAGATTATATCTTATGTGGAGAAGAATGCAAAGGTATGTTTGAATGAAATTTAAAACTAACATGACAGATGAAAGCAGGCATTTTTTATAAATGGTTGTTGAAATGAGATTCTTCTACGTTATAATATTTTGGTAATTTCTACGGATTTGATTTATTTATAAACTTAAATTAATTCATTAATAAAACTTATTACAAAAAAACTTTTTGCTCTTATTGATCCTCTCCGAATGGAGCCATGTCTGCCATACCCTAGATACGCCACTGGAGGCAGGTTTCTTAAATAATTTTTACTCATTCAATTTTTAAAATTTCAAGTTTTCATCGATTCGAGAATGAGCAGAAGGTTACAGTAGGCACGAATTCATTTTACTGATCCCATACATGTCAAAGAACACAAGTGTAGTATGCAAATCTGTAATTATTGAAGCAATTTCAATATTCTGTTAATTGATTAAATAAAGCTTAATTAGTAAATAAGTTGAATCCATCCTCAACTGTAATAAAATGGCACCACATATTGTGTAGCCACATAGTCGGTGGCTGTTTATGCAAAGCCTTGATTGAAGCAAGAGTGTGAAATATGTCTCATAAAAAGTTATAAACCAGCCATGGAAATATGGCAAATTTAATTCAACCATTGACGAGACAAATCATGATGATTAACACATAACTTGTTCAATCGTTCCCATATGTTCCCGTTCCAACTTTACTCATCCTGGTGATTTGATTTCGTCACTCATTAGCAATGTTACTAATTGAATAGCAATGATAATACTAACATTTATTCTAGTTTACTACCTGAACAAGACCATGACAAAACTCATCCAAAGTCTGGAAATTCAAGCGACGAGTTTTCTTGCGTTCAAAAAAGAGATTCAAGATGAGTTTGCTAATCCCAACACGGAGATTGAAAAGCGATTGCATAACGTTGAAAATATACTGGCCAATCGAAGCACAGTTATCCAAGAATTAAAAGAACAACATACGGTAACGCTTCCTGAACAGATTTAAGCTTCATAGTAGCGATGAAACAGTTTCAACTAGAGGTTCCCGACAACCCATCTCAATATTTTTATAATACTTCACCCCAATGTAGGAAGACATATTTAACGTAACATAAATATGATATTCATATTCTATTTATAAATCATATTTCAAAGTCTATATCAGAGATTTTCAAACCGTGGGGCACAGTGCCCACAAGGGGGCGTAAGCAATTTTTTTGGGGGCATGCAGCTAATGAAATATAAAAATATTTGTTTGATTTTATCTTGCCCGCCTCATTTCGGATATTTACATTTCTTAATTTCCAGGCAAAAACAACTGCACTAATAAAAATACCAAAAAATTTTGCTTGTTTTTAAAACTTTTCATTTATTTTATTATTTTCGCCGCATCATTGTATTTTCAATAGGTTTTTTGAATAAACATGCTTTCGCCTTATTGTTAGTTGTAGCTTATTGTTAGCTAGTTATTTTTGAGGTGAGGTACGAGACTTGACAAATTCAAAAAAGTTTGAGAACCACTGCTCTAAACAGTGGTTTTTGCTATTTCAGTAACCTTACATAACTTTGCTCATAAATGAGTCCACTCATGACCTTATCAGCAACTTTTCAAAAGATAAACTGTTGGTTCTATTTTTCAGAAAACAAAAAATAACCTAGACTCTGAAAGTTGGAAAAACATTGCAATAATCTTCGTATTCATGGTCATCATTGTCATAGTATTTGCATTCCTTTATCACAAAATAAAGAAAGATTTTGAAGGACAAATATCTTACTTGAAGGAACAAATAAAATCTAAACCATCCACCAAATGCACTGATGATCATGAACTTGAAAATGGACAAATGGTGACTATTATTGATGTTATTAGTTATTTTAATTAATCAATTTACGGTACATGACGCATCATTTTTACATGATGCTTATTCATGCCTTTTCTTTAAACAAGGCTTCGTCAAAACTTCAGTTTTGTTACGCTATTACTATTTATGACAAAATTTAAAAAAAAATGATTATTCGACTATATTTTTCTACAGAACAACAGACAAGACACCAACAACAAACGAAATACAATGTATAGTGAAACACAAACAATCACTGAAAATTAATTGGAGATTGTACCAGAATTTGGCGATTGCAAAAAGAGAGAATTCTTCTGAGTAAAAGAAACTTTTTAGGATTGTCATATTTATATTTGTCCAGAGAAAGCTTATCATGGGGTGAACACTCACTGCCTGTTTGTTCGGATACCATCCCATGTTGCTATGGGATTACGTCGCAGGCTGGTGAACCCCCTTCATAATTGTATAATAATACTTCACATAATATCGTTTACATAGAAAATTTGTTGTGTGTTGAGTGTGCATTGTGAATATTGTAAATCACGCATTTTATATATTGGACCGAATATTGTTGATGGGTGTTGCATTGAAAAGAGGAAGAATGTCTTCCACATATTTTCATTACTATTCATTGTCCATATTTTCACTACATTGTTGTCCTATTTTGCACTGCAATAAATTAGCATTTTTAACCGGTATATAAAAAACAATTTTGTACTTTTGAGTATTGTTAATCACACATTTTGTTGTAAATAAAATAAAATTAAAATTCTATGGTCAGATACTTTAGCATGGAGGGAAGAGGGTAGATCAACAATCAAACATTTAAACTCCGAATTATCGGATCATGATGATAATAAAAAACATGAAGCCCATTGAAAGATTTGAGCTTTCAATTTCTAACTGTACCACACAATTTTACACTAGTATTTTTTTAGTCTCAGTATATTTAGCCCTTGGCACTTGAGAGTGTAGGTCCGAGCGGAAAATTAGTTAGCCAGTTATTTGTATCAGATGCATGGACGTGATGGTAGAAGCAAAACCGAACAGTGGTTGTGACAACCACTCTACGACGATGAGTCCAGGGATCCCCTCATACACAACCATCCTTGGTGGGATCCGAACATGCGAACCCACACGAAGTAATTAGAGGCACAATGACAAGCATGCTCATTTCGCTTAGCACAATACACCAACCTCTTTCCTTAGATTTTCACTAATACCACAGTCGAATAGTTTTTATTTTCGTAATAATGGTAAGAAGTGTCTCAAAATCCTTCAAATTCATCCTCACTATTACTGTATGCCCTTTAGTGCAATCAGAGTTTCTCCGCGTTCAATTATTTTTTTAGTTTTAAACTCTGTTTATATGTGATAATATACGATAAAATGTATGATAATTCAAAATTTATATACTTCGGTAATTCTCTCACAAATTACGAAACGCTACCAAGGACTGTGGTAGTAATGAAATAAGGGGAAATTGTACTTGGGAGTGCATTAGGTGTAACATGTTTGTCATCAGAAAACAAGTCGCTAAAAGAAGTTATGACTTAATCGAATAAGTTAATTATTGTTTGAATTTAATGGGCGAATGATTTTCAAAGGTTTGTTTGCCATTAACTTAGTACCTCATTGTCTAAAATGAAATAAAAAACGAAACGAAGATATACCACAAATGAAATCAATTTTTCTGAGAAAAACAAAATAATGGTCAAACACAGCCTATCAAATTTGGATGCCTTCGGCCAAAAGACTTTGTAAAGTACTTACAACAGTGAAGTAGTTTGCTTGCCAATAGGGAATATTTGCTTATATAAGATGGTGATCCCTGATAATTAAAAATTGGTCAGACAACTGGTCGAAACAACTCTAGCTTCATAATATGGAATAAAATTATGACTTGATTATTCAAATAGAAATCATTCAAGTATGAAATCTCTAAGATGTTTAAATGAATGTCACACAATATGTAATTCCAAATGACCTGAATTAGATATAACTTTTTATTGATTTCCAATCTACATGAATATATGTTTTTTGTCTGTGGCAACCCAATAAAATATCATCTATGCACCTAAAAATATAAGCCATTTATTCACAGTATGCCTTATGGTTCGTATAAATAATAGCAAACCAAATCTCAAAAAGTGGTGGAATTTCTGCAATTGGAGGTTTGAATAAATATATTATTTTTTGATTCTTTTAACTGAGTGATATATTTCGATGCCACATTATTCGTGATACAAAAGAGGTACGATGGTCATTTATTGGTTGATGCGTTCAATATTCGATCACATTCCAAGAATAGATTCGATCGCGCAATATTTGTTTAGATTAGCCCCAGGAATGTGAGCCCGGGGACTTCACCTGATAATCACGCCGGTACATAGGTGAAGAAATAGAAATAAATGAGCGTCTTTCAATAATAGGAGGTACAGTCTAGAAAGAAACAGCAGTGGTGATACTTTGTGTGATGGTTAGAATAGAATTGTTAAAATTATTTGTATATCTTGAATTGCAGAAAAGTTTTTACTTGAATGTGAAATAAAATCAATATATATTCTAATAAAGAATTATAAGAAATAATATTGTTAACTAACAAATATTTCCAAAAAAAGTCAATCTTCGTCTTTAAAGAAAAACAAAATGGAAATAAGGTGAGTTATAGTTTTATCTGTTTGTTTTTATCAATGTCAAAATAACTTAATGAGTAGTTGGCGGTCTGTAATATAATACAATGGAAATGGAACCTTTCAAATTTTTTATATAATACAACATTAAATATGGTATTGGATTTGAAAAGATTTGAGTTCTCACCCAACATTTAAGCTAAGCAAAAACCACAAATGTTAGCCGTTGGTTATATTTTCAAACACCCACAATTTAGAAATCTACACCTTACAAAAAAATTTTCATATCATATTTATTTTCCTTTTCCTTCTAGAACTGTAAAAGCTGTCACATCTATAGCAATCATCATCTGTGCAATAGATTTAGGAACAGCTAAACCGTGAGTACCAACCGATCCCACTTTAAAAATCAATAATACTAGTATAGGATGTCCATAAAGTCTCAAAATTTAGGTTTTAAAAAATGTCATATCTAGTTTGGTTCAAACAGCCAAACCTGAGAATGTGTAGAAGGTGCGAGCTAAAATCAAAACTAAAACAGGTTCAGTTTTGAAACAAAGACCTGGTCCATAATGACAAAAATCACAAAAAAGTTTTATTTCCAAGTATAGGTGACAACTGACATTACCTACTTTGGTTTTACTGCGACAAGTTTCACAGTAGTTTACAAAACACTGTGTTACGCAATTATAAAAATGGTATCCGTTTCAGCCACAATCGAACAGCTTATTTTTCAGCAGAAAATTCAGTAAATTTGAGTAAAAATGCTTATCAGGCGTCATAGATCAAAATTGTCCTATTTCCACATTCGACTGTTGTAGTCAATGTTAATAAGGTTTCGAAATATAATCCAATTTCACTTTTTTAGATTACCCAACGTTAGAACGAATGGAGACTTGCAATCGAGACGAATAAAAGAATTTCCAGATATCGCAGATCACCGAATTGAGGTATTTTGGAATCAGTTGTTTTAATTTAAGAACTGTTTTGAATTTGAAAAAAAGAAATTGTCATAATTACGGCAATTTAAAAAAGTCAGCTATATTTTATTAGAACTTAAAGTATTTACCAAATAAAATTCTGACCAAAAATCACATAAATTAAATAATATTAAGAAGTCCACAGAATGTTTATTATATTTATCCTGAAGTACTTTTCTACTGAGTGGTTATGATAACTATAAGAAGTGAAATTTATTGAATATCAAGTTTAATACTATAAATACCAATTGAGAGTATTTGGGAAAAATTGGAGAGAAATACCAGTATTATAGCTAAACTACTCGAATTATGATCCTCCCTCGCAAATATAATACACAAATAGATTAAATAAGATTAGTAATGCGCGACTGATGAGAAACTGAATACGACCTTTTGTGTTTGTGGAGAAAAGGACACAATTGCGAAGTGTAAACATGTTGCGAAATTGAAAAATGGCGTAATAGTTTCTGTCCCAGGGTGGTTCCCCTGAAATTGCAAATCAAAGAAATTCAGGGGAAATAGAATCTGAGAATTTAGTCAACCAATAAGTATGATCATGAATGATACTTTGTCAGTAGGTGACTAAGCAAAAAAGAGGTAAATCTCAAATAATAATAAATAAAATGAAACAATTGTTAAATATTACGTCACACTGGATTTATTTTTTGAGCAAGGAAGTTAGTTCTCCATTAAAATCTAAGCATACATTGACATAATAATAAAGTGTCCATAAAATCAAAATTGAGGTATTTAAGAACTCAGTTTTGGATTTTAACAAGAATTTGGTATAATTACTGCAATTGAAAAGTCAGCTATATTTTATTAGTACTTATTAGTACTCAAAGTCTTTACCAGATAAAAACAAAATTCCCAATAATGATTCCAAATCAAGTAAAAGGTTTATAATTCCAGAACATTTATTATATTACACATCTCACAGTAATACTGTATATTGAAATCTTCCATTGAATATTATCGGTACTTTAAATTATGATGAGAGCTTTAAGAGAATTGTATTCCATAGAAACGGTTGTCAAGGTTGTCAATGCGTCATAAAAACATATTATTGTAATAAATGGATGACGTAAGAAAACTTCAGGGTGGTTTCCCTGAAATCTTCTGGCAAGCAATACCGGCTCTAGACTCAGGGATTTTAGTTAATCAGTACCTATAATCAAGCAGAATAGAATAAAACGATTTTGAAGTATTTTCTCAACACTTACAACCAATCAACACTTATAAATTGTTGGTTTTGTTGATCATAATTTTTTGAAATTTATCTTGGAGTAAGGGTTGAGTTCTATATTAAATTCTCCATAGCATCCATTACATAATAATAGCCATAATATAGTGGGTGGGCTAAAAGTAGGGTACAAGTAACAAATTAATTAAACAACTATAACTGTTACAAATTGTATATATATATATATATATAGGACATTACCGAGAAAAAAATTAGTTTTGAATGAATAGGAACTTCAAAAATTCATCTATCATTCTTTTTCAGGAAATTGAGAGACGTAAAAAGGAATGCATTCAATTAAAAGGAAAGTTTTATTCGTTTAATACCCATGAATGCGAGAGCTGCGAGAAGCATTGCCCGAACGGCACAGATATCACACTTTGTGAGCGAGAATGTCAGGGTGGGAATGGATTTATAATATTTTTTATGAATTTTTCTTCAAGGAATTAGCTACTAGTATCTATTCGAATGCAAAAAAGTTGGGTGCTCCTTATTTTAGTTTTATTACGAGTTAAAGAAATATCTGTGTTAGCCAAGTGAATATTCCACCTGCCCATAGACTTCAGTCCCTTTACACAACTTGATGTAAAGTAGGCGAACAAAACTAGTTACCTCCATATTGGTACACATATTTCAGAAACGGCCAAAATTTAAATGCAAGAAGTGCAGTAATATAAATCTACTGGTACTTCAACTTGTAAATCTCTGTTCACGCTTGCATCAAATTCATGGCAGTTTATTAAACAAACAAAAACATATTTTTAGGATATTATGCCAATAAATCACTGAATGAAATGCGGGAAAACTCTCGGAATTCAAGAAACGAACTGAAGACAGGGCTGATTCAAAGCCTTAAAGATAACGCGAACATCACAAAGAACTATTTCCTAAATCTTAAAGAACATCTCCTTAAACGAGACGAAGAAATTTCTGACCTCAAAAAAGAAAATAAGGTGAATGGGATTTTGTTTATGAAGCAATCAAACATCCACCCTGAGCTCATTCTGGCAAGCAGTGTAATTACTAGAGTATCGAGATTTGCTGTCTTTGGCGCAGTGGTTCTCGACCTTTTATTTTTTGTGACCAATTCGGTAGTCCATTGAATTTTTTATTACAGAAAAAAACTACAAAAACCTTTCCTGAATAATTGATATTTTCACTTTGATAATTAGAATGAAAATAACCACTCAGCATCATGACCAGTTCAAGCAAAGTTTAACTATAGAAACACAAATGCAAGCAATTTTTGCTAGGTATCTGTGGTACAGCAGTACTGGTCTCTGCTAGGGTCCAATATGGTATAGAAAAGTTATGCTGCAATTTCTGTTACAACAAGTTACTGTATTTATAGACTTGATATTTTTGGACTTCCATTGTACTGTAGCTTGAGAAATAACTTAACCACACATATCTACCCAGGGCATTGCCTAGAATTTTTCAAAGGGTTTCCCGAAATTTTTCTGAAATAGTTGGACTAGATCAGGGTGGTCCAAATCCAGGCCCGCGAGCCACATGTGGTCCTCCGCTTTATTATCGGTGGCCCGCGTCACATTCGGAGAGTAATCAAAAAATCGCATTTCGTGTTGTTTTGTAAAAAAATTATTCAGAAAAATCTTTTGACATATTGTTACATCTATAATGTCACTGAATTGACTAGTGTTATGGCTAGCTGAGGCAACTAACGAAGTTGAATGATGTGCTTGACAGTCTAAATTGTTATCTGACTTTCTATCTTTTTGGTCGGGAATATATGCTAACAATATAGGCATCATAGAAAACTAAAAATCGAATGCGGATTCTAGTAGCCTGGGATAGCTATGTCTGATAACTATGTGTTTGTACAATAAAAGTGTTTGTTTTGAATTGTACTGTTTACCTATTTTTGGCACTATTGTGGCCCGCGAACAATGCAGAAATAATTTTGTGGCCCGCGGAGCCGACAACCTTGGACCCCCCTGGACTAGATAGACCAGGTCCGGCTGAAAAATGTGGATTTTCAAGACTGTTGAGGGTCTAAAATGCGTTTCAAGCTACAAAAATTTGCTATGTAATACAGAAAACTAAGGGAACTTGGATATTGTGTATTGAACTGCAGGTCCTTTCTCCTTGTTTACTTTCATCGGATCCGTATGTGGTACTCACCACAAGGATGCTTGAACGAGATAGTATTAAAGTGATAAGTATCGAATTATGATCGAATATGACCATGTTATTTTTACTTAATACAGAAAAATGCCCGAATTTTGCAAAACCACCCCCGTATATCCCCCCAAAAATACAATGAAATAAAAAAAGAATTAATATAGGGAAAGACTGAAGAGAAAGAAAAGTAACAAACATACACTTTCTAAACAATAAAGCAGCTTGCCTAGTGACTCATTCACATATAATATAAACCTATTTTCTATCACAGGACCTAGCGAACAAATTGGAATCTACAGACAACAGTGTGACTATATCAAATGTCGTTTCTATTTTAATTATCATCGGCATGCTGATCGGTATTGGCGTTGTTGTCTTCTTTGGAAGAAAATATATCAAAAAACAATCGCACTCTAGATTGCATGGTCAAGCATCTGATGATAAATTCAACCCTTCCAACTCAAAAGATTCAGGAATTGATCAACCAGAAGGCGATGCGGAGAGTGCCCCTCTAACCCAGCAGGTCAGATATAAATTACTATATATGCACACACATAAGGAGAGTTCAAAACTTAAAAAAAAAAGTTCCAAATTAAGGGGATCTCATATATGCATGCAGTCAGGGTTTTCGGAGTCGAAAACAATCTCTTTTCCCCTCCCCTTTTTTGTAATTTTTGGAAGAATGAGAAAGTCGCAAATGACATGTGAGATTGCATTTTGTTAAAATCGCTGAGGCTGTAAACATATGCGAGGTCACCTTATATGAAAGGCTATACGGTAACTAACCTATATATATTACACATGGACATCAATAAAGTCCCTTTACAATTTCAATTTTTTTATGAAGTCAGTTCTCAATATATATCAACCAAGTTTGTTGTTTTTAAATCAGTAATTGTTTAAGTTTTTTTATTTCATTTAATACATCTGTGAGGGCCAAAACAATATTATAGCATTGATAAATTCCCTTTGCAATTTTAATAAAATTTAAGACTTCATGGACATCCTATATATTACTCAGAAGAACATTCATAAAGTATGGTTATCATTTTGGTATGTAGTCAGTTCTCAATATATCTTGACCAGGTTTGTTTTATTCCAATCAGTGTTTTTTTTTAAGTTCTTTTAATTTTAATTAATCCATCTTTTTAGCCCACCATACGAGACTTTATGAAATATGTGTGTATACTACAGATGCCATTATTAATTATAATAATTTGAAATACATTACATGTATTGTGAAATATCATAGAGAATGGCGCAACACTTTGTCCTGTCCTTGGTGTTTCCCCTGAAATACTTATGTCAACAATCTCAGGTATTCTACTCCAGGATTTTAGTTAAATCAATCAGTTAAGTATGACCATGCATGATATGCAGTGAGTCAGGATAAAATAGAAAAAATGATCTTGATAATACGGCAATAAAATAAATAATAAAATGGAAGAATTGGTATGTATGTTGTCACACTGGCCAATTAACACTTACAAATTGGATCATGCTTTATTTTTATAATTCATCTTGGATCAAGGTTAACATGTTTTATGCCACCATTAACTGAGTGAAGCACATCAAAGTTGTTTTAAGGACTTCATG